TAACAACAATCGTTTAGTTGGTAGAGGGGGGGACATTTGATTCTAACGAAAATTGCCACTTTGAAGCTTAATAAGTAACGAACGGTTAACTTAATCGAAAAACGGACTTCCCACACCCCTAATATTTTTAAAATACTTATCCAATGGTACTTCACGCAATGGAAAGATTTTTTTTCATTCTTACTTTACATGTAGGTGAAGTACCCGAAAAACATTATCAATATTTCATTTAACCACTTTGTCGGCGTGATTAACGTGTATACTAATGCTGAATTTCACCTTTCTAATACAAATCGTATTTTAACTAAACCGTACGGACATACAGACGGACATGGCAAAACTATAAGGGTTCCTTGTTAACTGTGGAACCCTAAAATAATATTTTTTTTAATAACAATCGAAAAAAAAAGATTAAAAACATAACGAAAATAAAATCCCGTTTTAAAAGTACAGTAGCGTTGTCTAGTGATCAGTAGCATCAGCTAAATGTGACATAATATTTTTTGCTCTATTAATAATTCCCCATTAAATGACGTTATTGAAAAACCCCAAAATTGATAACGAAAGCTACTTTGGTTGATAAAAATCGGAAAAAAATAAAGACTACAAATATAACAAAAATCAAAATCCCATCAGAATATTTGATACCATCAGAAACGGCTTACAAAATGTGTAACATTCTTCCACTTTTTCTAAAATCATATCCAAACAAACTCAATACGGTTTCTTATATGGAATTATCGTCGTAATTCATGAGCATGAGTAATCCTCCATTTTGGAGATGAGATCGGATAATATCACTGAAAGGCTCACAATGGAAAAATGTATTTGATAGATACCTATTCGAGTATTATGATTCTCATAGATGTTCATATGAAAGCTTTTATTTAAAAGCCAGCCCTCTGAGTTCAGTATTTTCATGGATTAGTTCAACGCCCTACTAAGGAACATTATTATAACAAAACATTTTTGATGAGGAAGTATATAAAAAAAAAAAATTTGTTCCCGAAATCAGACTAGATATCGCTTCGGTACGTTCTTGATTTCTCCACGATAACCCTTCCAGTTTTCTTTCATGTTTAAAAGTAAATTCGCTTTCAAAACTCAATAAACAACTCATATTCTATTGGTACTTTTTCGTATTTGTATTGATATCTAAGTTTACAACTTTTTGAAATTTCAGTTTTTTAATATGTTATTAATAGGAACGGAAATGATTCATTCGTTTCCCGCAAAAAACAACTTTTGCCAGAGTCACCATCTAGTGGAGATGCTTTTTTTAGAACTTTCGTTTTTTTTAATACTTCCTCGTGCAAGATAGAGCGGGTGCCACTTTTTAAGTGAATTCGAATTCGGATTTGGATTTTTACAAAATCACACGGCTGGAATGCTTAAAAACAAATGACCCAATAAACAACTTATATACTATTTGTACTTTTTCGTATTTGTATTGATATCTAATTATCGAACTTTTCAAATTTCAGTTTTTAAATATGTTAGTTAAAAGGAACGAAAATGACTGTGTTTGGTTCATTGATTTCCTGCAAAAATCAACTTTTGCTAAAGTCGCCATCTAGTAGATGTGCTTCTTTAGTGCTTTCGTTTTTTTTAAATACTCATTGTAACTTATTTACTTGTTTCATATTCGTTGTTGTATAGGTATACAGAGTGCTAGCAGCTTTCTCACGACTTCGGCCACGTAAATATAGTCTATATCACCCGCGAATGATGAAGCTTTCTTTTTGGGTCAATTTTTTTTTAATCAATCCAGTCCAGCGATTTTGTAGAAATCCAAACCCGAATTCGAATTCACTTAAAAAAGCGGCATCCGCTCAATCTTGGAATCAAAAAATGGAATCAATAGAACTTGAATTCGGACACACGAGTAAATTCTAATTCGGGTTTGGATTTTTACAGAATCGCAGAGTAGGTGTTTCGATGTTTATTCAACATCAACATACAAACAATATTTATGTTTTGAGAATTATATATAATATAAGCAAATTTTCGTACCAGAAGTGTATATATACCCCACGTTTAAATTATCTACAATAGCTACGAGTATCAGTAGCTACCTATTAGTACATCGCATCAATTGCTTTGTTATATTTCAAAAAACTTTCCAGACACTTGATATAATCCTTTTAATGTTTCGACAACATTCGGTATTAAAACGAACAACACGGATACAAACTATAATCCCGGGAAATTCAGAGGCCAGTCACGTACGTGTGTGACGCAATATTTGTGTTTCATTTTCGAGATAACGATGTTTTTTAATCCTTACAGCACTCACCCATTATCACGGCGTGTAGCATTGGTATATAGAGTATGGACGCGACGGATTTAACCCCCGTGTTGACGAACCAAATGAAAGGGTCCCCTTTCATAACAAAATTTGTTATGTTAAGACACTTAGCTGGACCCCGACTGTAATCGGGTAGGCTAGAGATTTCGTAGTTAAATTTTCAAGAAATTGTAAACTGACAATTTATTTGAGATACATGAATGCCTGCCTACTGAAAACACGTTAGAAGTTAGTTATTAATCATCGGAAACAAAGAACAAGCCTCCAAAAATGTTTGTTCATTTTGTTCGCAGTAGGAAAAGTTTGGAAAAGGTAAATAAAGTACGAATCTAAGGTATTGAGGTTTTAACTAAGATTTCTTTTTGCATTACTGATAATTCGCAAACGTTCTTACAGAAAGAAAAGTAACAGAAATCGCATCAATCAAGAATCGATATGAACTGCAAGTGTTATTTCTATGAGTTAAAGTTTATTTATTATATTACTCTTATATACATTTTGTATGATTCAGGAGAGAATTATTTATATTGCAAATTATCAGTAGGATAGGTCTATTGAATGTATGATTACTTAGGTAGGTACATAAGAAAGCAAGATATATATATATTTTTTGTCTGTCAGTCAAGTAGATTATTAAAGAATATTAACACGTATTTTTTTAATTTATGCGTTAATCAATAAGTTACGGCTATAAAATGAGTTGAAATGTTGCATGATGTTATGCCTTTGTACATAGTCTACACAGTTCTGATGTAGCGAACTGCTTCCTTAACTTTAGTGCCTATTATCTAAAGTATTTCTTGTTACATTGAAGCAAAAAGAAAAAAAATACGTACCCAACATTTCTCTATTATCCGACCGACGGTTTAGTTATTTTTTTTACCCAGTCATCATCCATATTTTTACGATTTAATGAGATAAGTTGGTGGTAGGTATCTACTTAAACTTAGTTTTATTATAACTCTAAGCAAAACAAAAGAACATTTATACCTATAGCAGAAAAGGATAAAATTCCTTAATACAATTTCACTTGAAATATTAACATTTCTAAGTATTCCCATTTCACAAAAACCATTTCCATTTTAAAATCGGTACAGTTTCAAATGCTGAACGTCCAGTTTTGTCGTATTAAAACGAGTGCATCCAATAAGAGAACAACCTTTCCATCCTATGTCCCATCTCAGCTATATTTCCTCATGCAAATGAAGCCATTCAGTTGAATAAATGATGTCTGTATCGAGAGACATACGGATAGCGTTCGCGTTCGTTATATATACTTACAAGACTTACATCTGTCTAAACAGAGAGATATAATTTTATCGCAAAATAACCAACTATAAAAATTATATACGCAAAATAAAAATTATAAGCAAAATAAACCTATTGTGGTAATATACTATGTGAAATTAGCATTTTATCTAACTGGCCAATTTGTTTCAATTGTCGTAGTAGTTTTAAGCTTGGAATTATTTTTAACATAAGTACCTAAGTACTATAAAAAAGAAAAGATTGTCAATCCGACTTTTTTGTGAATACGTTCCATGGTTCTATGACCTCTACGCCAATAGTGAACCGATTATATTTTACTGTTCGAAAGGGTATAGTGCTGTTAAGGGTTAAAAGGGTAAAGATAAAGATAAAGATCCGGTACCTATAGGTAACTATATGAAAATTTCCCCTCATCTGTTAATTGTGACAGTGATAGACTTGTCATAAGTGAGCATTATAAAGAGGATGATTTGATTATATTTTTGCATTATACATGCACAATAACTATTGAAATGATATTATAAATTCTATCTTCTACGGATAGCTGAATTGTAAGTAAGTAACATAGGCTACAATGGAAGCAGGCAAAGTGGCGGGAAAACAACTAATATTAATAATTCAGAACCAGGTTGTCTAGTTAAATTAGCGCCCATCACTGTAAAATAATGTACCGTGTTTTTTTCTAAATTTCCGTCATCTGTGATTCCACAAAATCGAAATAGATAATCGAAACACTATAGATCGCTAATAAGAGATATTTTTTAAGAACCAATAAGTAAGTAACTCGACTTGCCCTGTTTTGTCAAATCACTTAGGTATTTATTTGTCTAGTAGTCTAAAAGATAGTAGGCAATCTCAGTTTATATATAGTTTACTCAATTAACGCACGATTTTCATGAATATTTAATAGAGATCGTATTTTCTATCAATTATTCACAAATGTCTCTCTCGGTGATCTTCACTGAACTCCATTTTGAGATTTTGCCTTGAATTATTTCGTATTCCGTAAGCATGAGTGGGTATGAAAGTGAACTTTGTTTGCTAAGCACACTTGAAGCAGTCTCATAGTATCTCTTTAGCGACCATAGTTTAACTTTGAAAAGAAGTCTGATATCGATAGTCACTGGCTATATCTTGTCAAAAATTAGTAACACAATACCAAATTCCCAAAGAGCTCTGCTAATAATTGATTTCAATTGTTTTCTGAACGTGCCATTTACAGATACTGTAAGAGAAGCAGTCTCATAGTATCTCTTTAGCGATAATAGTCTTACTTTGAAGAGAAGTCTCGCGAGGCGCGGTTGCCCACTGAGCTCTGCTAACAATTGATTTCGATTGTTTTCTGAACATGCCAGTTACAGAATAAGGGAGCAGAGCGCCATAAACCATATCGAGATTTTTTTAGGATAATGAAACGTAAAATAAAGTATATCATTTATTTTTATTATTATCTTAACAATTAATATGAATAATTCGGCTCCGGTGGATGATGTGGAGGATAAGGCGGATGTCCGAAAGGGGGAGGGCCCCGTGGCGGGAACTGTGGTCTGAAGGACGGCGGCGGTGGTCTCCACGGAGGTGGCGGTCGCGATCCCGGGGGCGGAGGTGGTCCGAAGCCGGGTGGTCCAAACGGGGGTGGGGGGAAGTGGTGGAACGGCGGCGGGGGCGGCGGTGGTCCAGGGGGCGGTGGTGGTCCAGGCGGCGGCATCGACGACGGCGGCGGTGGTGGAGCCGTCATAGGTAGAGGGGGAGGTGGCCGCGCGCCCATCGGTGGGCCGGGAGGTGGCATTGGCGAGGGCGTGGGCGGTGGTGGCGGCGCCATCAACACTGGGCCCATCATCGTCGGTGGTGCATCCGCGAATAGTTGATGAGGACGGTCCGCGTGCGAAAGCGGATTCTGTGCAGCTAGTAATCTAGAAATTAATATATTTGATGAATTATATTGTGATCAAAAAGAAACATGTTCAGTTTAATAATCTTTATACTAAAATATACAATATAAAAATATAATTTTATGAAAAATGCTTAAAAAATCCACTTTGTCCCTGGCACTCGGAGATTGGACCATGACCTCTCGCAATCCGGTCAACTGCTCTAACCACTGAGCTACCCAGCAGCTAACAGCACTGACAAATCCTACAAGCACTTGTTACTTTTTCACTACTACAAAAGGTAATGTTCAGGCAATCCACTGCATGGTGAATGTAAAATTGATGAATATAAAAATAGATGTATATAATTTATATTAATATAAAAATATATGATTTATATATTATATGAGAAATTTAATTTACCTCTCTGCAGCAGAGCCGTGTCTCTCTCCTTTAACATCCTTCTTGAACGCATAGGATACTGATATTGGTCTATTACACAGATACTGATTATTCATAGCCTCTATTGCAGCATCGGAAGCTTCAAATGAGGCAAAGTTAATAAAAGCAAATGCTTTCGAGTTTCCAGTCTCAGGATCTCTCATCACCTAAAACAAGATGAATAACCCAGATTAGTTTAATTATAAAATGTGTAAAATTGGTTTTCAAGAAAAAGGCAAACCATCTCTGAGGTCACAAATAAATATGTGGTATGATAAATATAGAAAACACTTTTCTGTCATTTTTATTGTTATTTATTAAATAGGATTAAGAAACAACTGCTGCTTCTTTAAAGAAACAAAAAATAATCAAATAATATCTGTATATATTATTTTGAATAATAAATAGGTAATTGATATTAAGTTGTACACCTGTTTCAAAAGATTTTTGTGTTTGAAAAACATTTTGGTCAACTTGTGTATTAACCACTCTTTGTATTTAGTTTTGAGAATATTACTTCCAGTATTAAATTATAACAGCATTTAGCAAGGCACTGGCTGGCACTGGTACAACATACAGTTCAAACTAGCATGGAGGACAGGGTATAAAGAATATTGTAATCTTATTGTAAATAAAGTTATTATTATTATAAAATACTTTCTGAAATAGAGTATTCATTATCTAATAACCCCTAGAGGTTAAGCAACTATAACAGTTATCAGATGAGTAACCAAAAGTAGTTTATATCAAGATCTATCAACATGGTACATATAAAAGTATTGCAAGTTCTTTACATCTGCATTCATCAACAGTGGATATTATCAGTATATCTTCATCATCATCATCATCAGACCTTCCTTATGGATGGTTAAGGAGGATGGGCCATGACCTTCCACGCTGGCCCAATACGGATCGGAGGGTATTAACGACTGCAAATGCAGCCGGGACCGACGGCTTAACGTGCCTTCCGAAGCACGGAGTAGCTAGAGATAATAACTTTTTGGTCACCCATCCCGTGACTGACCGTTGCGAAAGTTGCTTAACGACAACGATCGCGGGCCGCGGCGCTTATCCACTACACCACCGAGCTACTATTATCAGTATATATGGATTATGATCCCAATTCCCTTTGCAACTGTTGACTTGATCTTATTTAGCAGACTTTAATATGTGCTAACATAAAATTAGGAGCAAAAAAGCATTCAATGTTCTACAACGGGGGTTCGCACAAAAAATAGCAAAAACATACAGATCGGTTTCCTTGAACTCTGCATTAATATTGTCGGGGCTGCTTCCGCTGGATCTTCGGATTCAAGTAGCATCCCGGCTTTATGAAGCAAAGCGCGGGAAACCCCAGGCAATATTAAGTGGCAGAAAAATAGAAAAAAGAATATCCCTGCTGGAATCGAACCACCCCGACAGCCTCAGTATGATAGAGTTCGAATGTCTGGCGAACGTGGAAGAGGATGGCAAACTGGCAGGTCTTGTGAAGATCTATACAGATGGCAGCAAACTTGAGGGAAAAGTCGGTGCAGCCCTGACCTGTTGGAAAGGGGCTGTTGAGATCGCTTCCCGAAAGTTTAAGCTGGAGCCATACTGTACGGTCTTCCAAACCGAGCTGTATGCCATCCTCCAAGCGACTGAGTGTATGATGAGCAAGGAATGGAAGGAGGTCGCGGTGCTTAGCGATTCGAGATCCGCTCTACAATCGCTGCAAGATCCAGACTCATCGCACCCAATCACGAAGGCGATACAAGGCAACCTGATCCAACTTAGGGAATTAGACCGCAAGGTCTCCCTATTTTGGATCAGGGCCCACGTCGGCGTGATTGGGAACGAGAGAGCGGACGAGCTGGCGAAGGGAGCGGCTCTCGAATTGAAGTGCAAATCGCACTATGACAGATGTCCCATCTCTTTTGTCTAAAGGCACTTACGCAGTTTGACAAAAGTAGAATGGGACAGACGTTATAGAAGCGAAAGCACCGCGGCCACGACGAAGGCCTTTTTCCCCAGTGGAGAATTGGCCTTCGGCGTCGTGCGTAAGATGAGAGTGGACAAATGGGCTGCACAGTTGCTAACGGGGCATGGAGGGTTCAGATCTTACCTCCATGAATTCAAATGCAGGGATACTCCATTTTGTGAGTGCGACCCCCAAACAAAGCAGGACTTCTAAAATGCCCGATATTCAGCATAGATAGGCACACTCTACAAAGCGCAATTAACACAAAACTAAGTAGGCCAAACCTAGAAAAAATCATAGGGAATAAAGAGGAAAGAGACGAATTTATAAAATATGCTTGCAGAATGGTAGAAAAAGTAGTAAAAAGAAATAAGGACTAGAAATTGAGTATATTGAATCAGTAGACAATACAGCAGGTAATCTGTGATATTAGAATAGTAAGTAACCTGTAATAAAAAATAGATATAGTAAATAAACAGAATTGTAAACTAAAATGTGTAAATAATTAATAGACAAAAGATAATTGTAAATAGATATAAGAAAATATAAGAAAATGTAACAAAAATTGGAAAATATATACTATAGAATAAGAATAAGTATTGTATTAGAAATAAGAATATGCTCAAAAGAGGGAAAAAGAGCGATCCCAAAGACAAACAGACCAGTAAGGTCTGTATAAAAAAAATATATAAAAAAGCATAAAAACAAAAAAGAAAATAAGACAGCCTGCTCAAAAGTGGAGGAACCTGCATTTAAAAAAAAAAATATTTGCTAACATCTAAAAATAAAATATGCTTACAATTTATTTAAAAACAATACTATATAGTTATTGTTTACATACAAATTATGTATGAACACCGGAAGAGAATCCCTTACGCAGCTATGTATATACCTAATCACCATGCATCGACGTCGAGGTCAAGCTGACACGATTTGCCGACACTGCAGTTTACACCACTTAAGCGATTATAATATTTTATATTCACTCTGTTTTCTAACATCGAAACGGTCATAGGTTATTTTTAGATGTTAAATTATTTTTATAAGTATTTTCCTTTTAATTAAATTTATTATAATAATTTTGTTTTTTTTTTTTCGAACCTCCGTCTGCAGTAAACGTAATTTACACAATTCCATTTCTAACATATCCCATAATTTATTGTTGTAACTGACAAGTAAAACAACAAAAAACATTAATAAGCTAATGACGATAGTAAAAACATTATTTTAATTACCTTTGGAGTTTGTAAAATCACTCCAAACGCTGAGAATGTGTCATATAGAAGTTTCTCGTCTACTTCAGGATCCAAGTTTCCTATGAAAACATTAGCACCTACATCCAAATTTTTCTGATGGGCTGAAGCTTTATTTACTCTGACAGGTTTACCATAGAGCTTTATCATATTCATAACCTGAAATTAAATTAGTGACAAGTATGTAGAATAATTGTAAAACAGTTTTCTAATTTTTATTACAACTTGATTCAATATTATTCCTTTATAAAAAACCGGTTGAAAGTAGTGATTATCATGTTCAATAAAATCCTCTTGAATTACAATAAAATAAATCAAATAGAAATAAATATCTAATGTTATCTTTAATTACCTTGATGGCATAATCAGCATCTTCTTCACCCATAAATTCAACAAATCCATATCCTTGATGTGTTTGTGTCACACGATCTTTGGGCATGTGCACATTAACTGAAAAATAAGAGAAAACAAACAAGTTTATTTACATCTATGTTGCCTTTATTGTAAGTACTTGGAATAAGTTGCTATTGACTTCTGCAAATCTCCATTTCTAATCAAAATAATAATTATGATTAAATCAGTTTACATACCCACGGGTCCAGATTGTACGAATAATTCCCACAGTAATGTCTCCGAAACTCTATCATCAAGACCTCCCACGTAAATTGTAGCATCTATAAAATAACAATAAAAAGATAAAAAATCACTTGACTTTGTAGTTACAAGTAGTTACAGAAACGGAATATAGTAAGCTGACAAATTATACTAATGAGAGAGGGTTATTTTCATTTTGCCCTTTAAAATGAAAATTACTATTTTGTTTGTACTTGAAATGATGCTAGAAAACATAACCTATCCAGCAAAATAAAACCTACTTTATTACTGTTAGTATATAATAATGCAATCTCTAGCGTTATTAGAAAGAAATATTATTAAGTACTTTGGAAGATGAAATATTAAATTATTTACCTTGATTTCTTTCAGCAATTGGCCCGGCTGCCATTTTGACACTGACTGGCAGGTGTTACCAATAGCGATGCAAATTATTCGCGTTAGACAGTTATTCAATGAAGAAGTATTAAAAAATAAAAATTAGTTCTTGAAATCATACTAGATGTCACCCGCGATGTTTGGATATTGTCTATGATATTCATTAAAATTTTCTTTCTGTCGTAATAAAAGTTTTGAAAATTAATAAATATATCATCGTTTCGTGTTTCTTATAATATACAAATTTCAAATTAATATTAATTTATTTGAATCGTAAGTTTAAGTTATTTATTATGTTACATGTAAAGGAACGATGTTTGGTTTATACGTCAACATTAGTGATGAGCCAACTTATTGGTGCTCGTAACTTTCATCCGAATTCAGGTTTGGAATGTGGAACTAAAAGCGGAGCGCAGAATTCAGCAGAATTCAGAATTTATATGTGTCATTATGCAACGAATGATATTAATATAAATATCAAAATCAATTCGGTCTAGGCTGTTACATAGTACTGGTGAAAGTCGAAAACTATGCTAATAGTTCGGAAAACTACGGGGGGTGACCTTGTACTGAGAAGAACCTGCAAGAAACTCAGCAAGGCTGCTTTTTTTGTCTCTGTTTCATTATCATCATCATCGATTATTTCGACCCACGATCGATCACACCTCTGTAGTATCAGATTATATATCTGCAGAATATCTAAAAATGCAAGAAAACCATATCATTATATGGTTGCCAACCATCAAGGTCACCTTGGATGGAGTTCAGTAACCTGAGTCTATATCTCTGGCGTTCTCAAAGTTCTGAGGACAACGTGCTCACGCGCGGTTCTAGTATTTTGTAATTCATTAAAGCACTAATCCCTAGCCAGTTGCTAAATTTTTTTTTTATTTAGATGAAATCGCTCATTGAAGTTCTCTCATTACCAGTTGTCGGAATTAGGTACAGTTATTCATGTACTTACACTGATTTCATACAGCGAAAGAAAAAAGTGCATATGCCTCAAATCCCGAGGTTAATTTTAAAGAGCAGAAAAATCCCGTGATTTTTTTAAATAAAAAGTTATTTACTTTTACACAATTTAAACTACTGCACGCACGATGTTGCCAAACTTACATCAATGACATCGGATATCCAAAGATGTCCAAGATTGTCCATTAGAAATCCCGGAAAGGTCCACATTAATATCAACATTTCGATGCAAGTACATAAATAACTCTACCTAATTCCGACCTCTGCTTATTACCCATGTTTTTCAGTCAGATCGTTTGTCTTCTGTTGTACTTATTAGAGTTAATATATATTTAATTTTAATAAAACTCAAAAATAAAACGTATGCGTATATTTAATTTCAAGGTTACTATATTTCGTAGATATTGCAAATTCAGTAGTTTTTCAGTCGAAGAGTAATGTTAAAAAATATGTTTAGCATGATAAAAGCTTTGTCTCGTTGGTATCTCGTAATTATACAAATGCCATAACCCAAATCCATAATATGAATGTGCAAACTCGTCCGCGTACACAAACTACGTGATGCTGCAGGTGCATCTATGCAAATAAATCGTAAATTTACCTATTACAAATGAGAGTTTATTTTTTTTGTCAAATGTCATAAATAAACCTTGTAACACTTTTGTGAAATTGCTTCGGACAATTATTTTAAACATAACTTTGTTATTACATGAAACGAACTGTTCTCGTAGGTGCCCAAGTAGCACATAAATAATATATTAACTAAAATAAGTACCGATTTATGTCCTAAAGTCATATTAACATTTTTAATCAGCACTGGTTAAGTTTCGAATCTGTTTAAAGGCATTTATTTTATCGAATAATGCTAAATGCCATATTATGGTTAATAAAAAAAGTATACCAATGTCAAAACTCCTATTTAAGTATTGGGTAATATTAATATAAAGCTGTTATCGTATTTCGGTGATATGAAAAACATTATATATTATATAAGCATTAACGTAATATTATTTAGTGCACTTAGTTGTATTTAGTCATTTTCTAGAAACAAAGGTTTTCTAATGGCCTATGGTTGTATCGATTTAATGCTTATCCTATATACACATTGAATAAAGAACAAGTAAAACTTTAGCACCGATTTGTTCTTAAAGTATTCTTTAATCAAGCTCAAGCTCCTTTATCTTCTTAATCTATGCTTTTATCAAACATTAGGCTATATTTTGATCAATATTAAGTTATTTATAGAGATACAAGTAATAAATAGATCGTAATTATTTTTATTTGAAATTAAAATTATTTTATGTATTGTATTGTAATGGTGGCATTTAATACGCATCGATGGCGCCATGGACAAAAAAGGTTGGGAAAAACAAAGAAAACAGGTGGATATAAAAGAAAACTGAAATAAGAGTATTCTAAATTAAACGAAATTTTTAAAAATTAAAATAAAAATGAAATAATCGTTTGATGATTATAAGCACTATAAGATACTTCTGAAGTGTTAAAATACGGCTGTATCTAAAATGGGAGTGTGTTATACGATGAATTACGAGCTCTTTGTTTTTTGTCTAATCATAATACGATTAACAGCTCTACTACACTATATTTGAATACCTAATGCTTTAATTTTACGAGTCGCCATTTGCTTTCTTTTTCCAATTCTTACAAAATATTTAAAGTCAACTGTGTCAGATGAAAAGGGGTAAATAATCATTTATTTTGTGCACAGATGCCTATAAAAGCAATTTTGTTGTTAAAACAATGCTAAAAAGCCTAAAATTCAACAAAAATTTTTGCTACTAGATTAAATTTTCTATTATTTTTATTATATTAAATGAAGTTTGCGAAGGCGCGTGTATTTTACACCTTAAACTTGTATATTTTACTCCACAAACTGATGTTTGCAGCTTATTTCACACATAACGAGCTGTTTAAATCAATATTAAAAAATACTTAAAAGACCAGCCAAGAGAACATGTCATAACACTTACACAAAACAATAACTTAAACCGATTATATATTTTTAAAATCTATTAAATATACTTTTTTACAAAGGAAATAAAACAGTAAGCATTTTTATAACATTAAATTAACGTATTATAATTTTGATTTACGCATATCAATTGTAATATAGTCACAAAAAGTTCAATTAGCACTTTAAGGTGCTAATTGAACTTTTTGTGGCTATTAGAATGCTTTTACCCGACTTTATTAATGCTATTATACAAAAGTTGTAGTGCTATTGCACAGCTTTTATAAAGCTTAAAGTCGTACAAAGGGGGGGCTCAAATTTTACGTATAAGAGTCGTTTAAAAGAAATACGGTTGATATACGATTTTATTATAATGCTTAACGCTTGGACTCGTGCTATCATAAGTTTGATATAATGGTGTTTTGTGATACTTGGGTGCCTATTAAAGTTAATGATCAATTTTGCCGTTGCTAACAATGTTCTATGTTTATAGGTGAACAAAATGAATTTGTGGAGCAGGCTAGTCACAACTGACCCAGAGATATCTACTAGGAAAATTAATCCAGGTAAATAAAGATATGTTTTATATTTGTGACCTTCGGCTGTTAAAGTTGCATAATTCATTCTTAATAATTTTGAAGCTCAGCAATCAGCGACTGGAAAATTTACAATTTTATATCATTAAAAATATTTGTCATTATTTAACTACGAGATAAACATTTAAGTTTAATAATGTCAAATATGTTATTAAGAATCTTTAGTTTATTCTAAATTGTCCTTTAAGTTCTGAGCCATTAGGCTTCTTTCACAATAACATTATAACAGTAAATCATGCAGATAATAATTCATAATAAACGCTTATGGGTAAAGGTTTCATCTTAATGCTTATTGAATATAATAGAAAAAAACGTGTGATTTTTATATAATTGGTTTATTTATCAGTAGATTTGTTTGTGCGATATGTCAATTATGCATGTTGGATGCAATTAAATTTGAATTTGTTTCTTGAAGAACCATCTAAGCTGTCTGATTTGGACGGTGAAACGCGTGGTCTAGTGGAGAAGATGATGTACGACCAACGGCAAAAGGAAATGGGCCTTCCTACCAGTGATGAACAAAAGAAACAAGATGTACTTAAACAGTAAGTACATATTTATAATTAGACTTTATACTGTGTGAATAGGGATGATAACTAATTATTGTTTGTCTGTCGGGTAGATTACTAAAGATTTTGCACGTTTTTTGCATAATCCATTAATTACTGTAGTACATTGAGTTGAAATGTCATCATACCTTCGTACTATTGTATTAGCCGGATAATAAGGTTACTATATAATCACCCTTAACATTGGGTTTGTTGGTTAGATAAATGTTATGCTAATATTAACTTCAAAAGTATTATTGTTTTTTTAATTCATGAAACAGATATTAACAAAAAACAAAACACTTCTATCAAGAGCATCCCTTGCACTAAGGATTTCTTTTTAAATTATTTAATGTCTTTAATCAACGGGCCTACAAACAAGTCTTTATAAATAAGTAAAATACTTATGTATAAGTATTTTACTTATTTATAATCGACTTATAATAGGGATGATGACTGGGTAAAAAAAAATGCAATTCTATTTAGTCCGTCAGTCAGATAATAGAAAATATTAGATACGTATTTTTTTTTACTTCAATTTAACAAGAAATAGTTTAGATAACAGGCATTAAAGTTGAGGAGTGGGGGCTCGCTACGTCACAGTTGAGTAGAAAACGTACTCTAACGTGACGTCATGCGAAATTTCAACTCTATGTAACGCCGTAATTTTTTGATTACGAAAACAATAAAAAAGTACGTTTTTAATATTTTTTAACACTCTACCTGACGGAAAAAGAAAAAAAAAATTAGTCATCATCCCTATTATTACCAGTGGTCGGAATTAGGTAGAGTTATTCATGTACTTACACTGATTTCATACAGCGAAAGAATAAAGTGGATATGCCTCAAATCCCAAGATTAATTTTAAAGAGCAGAAAAAATCCCGTGATTTTTTAAATAAAAAGTATTTACTTTTACACAATTAAAACTACTGCACGCACGACGTTGCCAAATTTACATCAATGACCACGGATGTCCAAAGATGTCCAAGATTGTCTATTAGAAATCCCGGGAAGGTCCACATTAATATCAACATTTCGATGCAAGTACATAAATAACTCTACCTAATTCCGACCTCTGCTCATTACTAATACTAACGGAATACGAAATAACAGTTTTTTGATACAAAATCAAGTGTAAAAATAAAATATAGTGTATACAAGAAAAAAAATTTAACCACTGACAATGCCAGTGTCAATGGTTCTCATTAGGGAGAGCGGGATATGCATTTCATGGGCTCGTATGAGTTATGGGGCTCTATTTTTGAATCATTCGTCTCGCGTCGAGCGCTCGTTTTCTACTATCACTCGCATACAACGTTCGCTAAGCGACGAGTGGTTCATACCATTCGTTGCAGTCGAGCGATTTAGAAATGGCGAATTTGTTAAGTCGAACGAAAATCAGTAGAAAACGAGCGCTCGACGCGAGACGAATGATTCAAAAATAGAGCCCCTGGTCTCTATCGCATAGACAACTTAAATTATAAAAGCATGATTTTCACAACACGTAACGTAACGTATTTAACACGCGCACATGAAAATGTCGCGTCGGCCGTCTTAGGGCAGTAGGGGTTACCGGGCAACGCAGAGGGACACAGCGGTATTGAAACTTTCAATGAAGTGTAATTAACAAAATTGTGTCCATATTTTATCGTTTTAATGCTGATAAAAATATTATAATTTTTTTAAACATAATATGGAAATGTCTTCTATTGCTGATACTGAAAGACCAAAAAAAATTGGTTAAATTTTTTTCCTGTATAATTTTGATATTTCAAAATTGCTAGAAAATACGAACGAGTGATTTCGACACATTTAAAGTGCTAACTTTTTTCGGTGATAACGATTTTAGGGTGTCAGTTGAATTAGCGAATAGGCATGCAGTTTTTCGATTTTTCATTCATTTCATTTTCATTTTACATGTAAAAATTAATTTATTTACTTGATATGGCAAAATTGTGCGAAAAGCACAGATACCTAAGCCATTAATTATAAAAGAAGAAGAAGATGCAGTTTTTCAACCATGTTGACAGCTTCACATATTTAGTGATCTGTGGACAGCTTTACTGTCATGTGAGTGACATTGACATTTTCATTGTTTGTTTTTGTCAATGTCACACTGTAGAAAACGGTAGAATTTAGTTCATTAGTCGTGCTCGGACGCTTTGTGTTTACGTTGTTTTGATTTCGAATTTTTCCATTACATTTAATATTTTCCTAAGCAATGCAAAGTGCCTCAGACGTGATATCGTCGCTGTTTTGGTTCAAAGATGACGCTGAAAAAGAAGAACAAGAACCTCAAATAATTGAGCAGTTTGTGCAGAATGTTGAAGATTTCAGTTCACAATACGGAAGCGAAATTAGCGTTTCTTACACCGCTTTCAATCTCAGAGGTCCACCTTCTAACTTTCCAGATTACGGAGATTACCCCCAGGCTTTTGTGATGGTGAGAATTTTTAGCAGTTTTGTCATATTTTCTAGAAAGCTAACATTCGCTTTGTCAGATTTGTTATTGTTTACAATTCTGAAAAGTGAAATTGCTAATTATTTTTTAACAATTTTTTTTTAATATAATAGAAATAAATTATGGTTTATAGTAATTTAATCATATGATTAATGGTTTTCAGTATATTTCAATGATAAATTTACTCTATAAATTTTAGTATAATAATAATTTGTATTGAATTGTAAATTTGTAATTATTTTCAATTAATTCAATTTCAATTAATTAATTTAATTCAATTTATCATCAGACCTGTTATATCCCCACTGCAAGGGCTCAGGCCTTTCTTATGGATGGTTAAGGAGGATGGGCCATGATTACGCTGGTTCAGTATGGATTGGAGGGTATTAACGACTGCAGATGCATCTACGGCTTTACGTGCCTTCCGAAGCATGGAGAAGATTGAGATAATAATTTTTGGACGCCCATGCTGTGACCGACCCTTGCAAAAGTGGCTTAACAATAAAGATCACGGGCCGCCGCATTTATCCACGACAACATCAAACTACTCCTTTATTCAAACTCATTATATTAATTTAAATCAACTAACACAATATTAAAGTTATTCTATTAACATCAAATGAATATGTAACATTCAATTTTGTACACACATTTTTTTATCAACAGAGAACTTATGGAACCTGGTGGGATGAAGCTCCATCAGCTCAAAAAGACTATATGCCTCAAAATAGCACCCCTATTGCAAGTCAAGACTATGTCGGTGTGTATTTGTTTTGTGGTACACTAAGCATGCATTTTTTAAAACTGAGCACTAAAGTTACATTTAATTAATTATAATGCTTTTTTAATCAGTATAGGTTTTAATTTTTTATCAAAATAAAGGTAGACAAAACGATTTTCTTTACATTTAGCAAATGAATGTCAATTGACTTTAGAATTTCCATTATTCAGCATATATTATGTGCGAGATGGTTTAATAGTTTTCATTCAAATAATTCTAAAATTTGATGGTTTTGTTTCCTTGGATATGCTCTGCTTTGACTGATGTATAGATCACATATATTGCCTAGATATTTCAGCAGTCAATAGTCCCTTTTAGTGTTGAATGGAACACTGAGCCCTGAACAATATAGAGAAATTGGTTTTTTACTGTATCAAAATTGCACAGGGTCCCATAGATTTCACACATACACCTAGTGGCAAAAACTATAAGCTCTAATGAAAGTTTCAAATTTGAAAATTTGGAACGATAATTTCGCTTTAAATTAATGACAATCTTTTAAAAGACATTTGTGCAACTGGGGGAGAATTTTGAAAATCAGTGCAGTACTTTTTAAACTTAAATAATGATATAATAATTTTAGTATAAAACAGGTGTTTTTACATGAATTCACCTGCACAAAAAAGGCGAATAATCATATCTTTCCTCTCTATAATATAAATATAGATAAATTTTATGTTTGCTTCACTATTGTTCTGCATTGCAAAAACATTGCTTTTGGCAGAAGTGTCGTTTGAACGTACTGTGTATCCCATGGAGGTGTCTGTGTTTGAAACATATAACCCTGGAGCTTTGGTACGTATATGGGCGCGTGGACCAACATCCTGGCTGTTGTTGTGGGAAGGAGAGCCAGAATATGTGGGTGACACTCCAAGGATCTTTAGTCCACCTATAAGACAGATAAATGTGCCTACAAGGTGAGAGACACTATTATTTTACCATTTCTGTTTATAATAAAATAAAATATCTTATTTATAACTGGCTACTTGGCTGTTTTGCGAGAGTATTTAAACTTCTTAAATGATCATAATATTTTATTTTTTTCCAAAAAATATTCTAATAAAGGATAAACAAACATATTTTATTTATTAATTAAAACTGTCCGGCGAAACCAATCGCCAGTCATGTGACATTTCGAGCCGTGACGTCACATTTCAATAAACATGAATAATGGTTGCACTCAACAAATTTCATAATTTATTATTACACTCATATATAACTGACATGTAGCCAATTATGGACTCTCAGCAATCTGATATTTATTGTTTGGTGAGATAAAAAGTAGCCTATATGTTAATCCACACTCAGAAGTATATGCTTACCAAATTTCATCAAAATACGTCCAGTAGTTTTTACGTGAAAGAGTTACAAATATACATACATTCATCCTCATAAACTTTCGCATTTATAATATTAGTTGGACAATAGTGCCAATTCTATTTTTTTAGATATTGATTTAAGATTAGATAGAACTCTCACTAATGATCTATGAGCAGTTTAAATCTTTGATTTTTGTTTGTATTACTTTATGGTTTAGAATTAGATCATGTTTTTTCAATTCCTTAATGTTGTTTATTATGTGACGAACATATATTCTGTATATACTCTAGTAGTAGTTTCTTTGGAGATCATACGGGTTTAATTATGATTGTGATTATAGGAGTAACTAAATTTTTATAAATATTTTAAGTATTATTGAATCGAATTTGAATTTTCAATTAAATGATTGAATAGTGGTGTTATTACATGGGCATTTGTCAGTATTTTTTATTTTAAAGCAGTGTTAATACTCTAGATGGTAGCTGTGTATAGCAAAGAGTTAAATTGTAGCAAAGTCACTAGGTACACTTTCTAAAGTTTTGTTTAATGAGTCTTATATTGGTCTTTAGTTGTTTAGTATGTAGTCCTCTATTACTGTTTATGTGTATACTATTGATTTCTATTTCAGTTTCTACTTTGGCCATACTTTTATGATAAGATACCGGGAAATAAGTGAATTCCAGCACTGTGTTCAGTGTCATAACTAGTTTTGCTGCTTGGTCAGCTAGTTCGTTGCCAATGAGTCCAATATGAGAATCTAATGGTTCCTATTTTTTGTATGTTGTATATTGGGTTGTGTGCGGAAGATATTAGTGAATTGGTGGAATCTCTGTTTTCAAACTCCTTGAGAGAAGAGAGCGAATCCAAGAAGATGACGCTGTCTTTGATATGTTTTGTTCGATCCATTCCATCCTTTTTAATTGCTAATGCCTATGCCTGAAAGACAGTGTACGAGTGGTGTAATCTCATTTTCTGTGTGATATTTTTACCATTTGGTGTGATTACAAACAAAGGAAGAAGGCCCACTCGATCGTCTTGTTTACTGATATTGGTAAAAAATTTAAAAGTATTACTGTTAGTTATATTATTGGTGTCTTGCCGTGGTTGTATTTTCTATTATGATTGTTATTCTTTCAGCGATGACGTTAGGGAGATAAGGTGTGATTTCTGTGGATTTCGTTGTTTCTGTATCTGCAACTTCTTAAGATCGACTGGGATTAGTTTAGCAAGAGCAATAGAGTTTACCGTGGGAATTGTTTTGAAACCTCTCATAATTTTTATGGCGAATTGCCTCTGCAAAGAAAGGAGTTTTTACGTTACAGAATTGTTTTTTAACGCAGCGGGAGCACAGACTTCTGCAGCATATGTTTATAATCACGGAACAGAAAAAAAGAGTAGAAGTAGTATGCCAGTTGTTTTGTATGAAAACACCTGTAACCAAATTCACATACTGAAAGATACTGTACAATATGCACACATAAATTATTTTCATAAAGTAATGTAAGTATCGATTTTATGTTAAACGAGTTACTTATACCTTATCACAATTAAATATGGGATAGTACGTATTTAAAATAGTCGTATCAAGAATGGTATTTCAATTTTGAGTCTGTCTGCTATAGTAATTGTAGAAGACAATAGTTAGGTAATTAATTAAATGAAAAAACCTCAAAGTATATTATTTTTATTGGTTTTCCGATATTATCTATTATATATAATACAATTATTACATACTAGCTTTCGCCAGCGGGTCCCTAGGGAAATGTTTAATGGAATAAAAAGTATCTTATTATCTAAGTCAGCTAATACCCTGTATACCAATTTTTATCAAAATCCGTTCATTAGTTTTGGCGTGATTGACCGACAATCATCCAAACAAAGAAACTTTCACATTTATAATATTAATAGGATTAATAGGATAAGTATATATAATACAATTATTCGCTAACTGAAGCCATAGTGAAAAGTTTCTTTTTAATTTTATTTATTTATAGAAACAAACGGTCATTACAAAATACAATTATTACCTACAATTTCATTAATATATCTCAGAGCTACATAATTAGATTAACAATTAGAATAACCTAAGATTAGCTGCATTTGTTACAATATAGAATATAAAGGCTATTAAAATAACATCAATAATACAGATCATTCCTAATTACCATCATTACATTAAGAATATTAAAGCTCAAATGTTTACTTCAGATATTTTATGGTACAACAAAATATCAACATTTACTAAAAATGTTATCATGCTATGCCAAAAAAATTAAAGACAATAATAATAAACCCATGGTTTACTACATTTATTACAATTCAAAATTCTATTGAAAAGGCGTTAAATAATAAAGAAAATGAAAAAAAAAAATTCAATCCATTATGACATCAAAATCAGGAATTTGTGTTACTCTCTTTAGACTTATACCATTCAATTTGTAATCATAGCTTTATGTAGATTTTTTTTTTAAAAAAAGGTTGTTATGCTCCATTTATCAAGATTTAATGACAAACTTATCATTACAGTATTTCTCAAAATTAAAAAGGTCATATTGAAGCAAATTCTAATGCTTGGTGTCACGTATGATTCTAAATATTTTTGTGTCATCGGTATAAAGTAGTATATTTGAGGTCAATATGTGTTTATAAATGTCATTTATATATAACCTAAATAGTAAGGGACTTAAAGGTGACCCTTGTGGATTCTAAGAACTAGCTCATTTCTTCTGAGACATGAAAGCCGACAGAATTACACATTAATTTCTATTCTCAACGTAGGATCTGATCCAGCGGAAAACATCCCCATGTATTCCTAATTGCCAGAGCTTAATTAAATTTATTGTTTTTGTCAATTGATATGTTTATCTATATTATAACGGTATGTTTATAAATAAATTATCATTATAAATAAATTATCTGTGATTTTGGTTTCTTTCAGTTTATGAAATACAGTTATATGTCTAACAGCCAGTGGCACAAACTACTATTAAAATTTTCATTAGATGAAGCGACATTATCCATACAAATTCGACATTCGTTAGAGCTCAAAGTCGTCATAAAACCTTTTTGGACATTTATGGAACTGACCGTAAATAAGCTTTTTTCAATCACAATTTAACTTAAACGAACTAGATAAATTCATAGAACTAAAACAATCAAAATAAATAATTAAAAACGAAAAAAAATTGACACTATAAAAGGAAATAAATTACTAATTGAAAAAAAAGTAAAAATTTCGGATAGCTGTTTTTTTAAAGTAAATGTTATGTTTTCTTATCAAACCTAATCAGTACTAATTATTTTAAAGAGGAAATATCTGATAATTTGTTTGTTTGCTTTGAATAAGCTTCGAAAATACTGGATCGATTTTAAAAATTTTGTCATACACAGGTAGCTACAGCGTGCGCAAACGACATCTAATATCAAAATCGATGGATGCTCATGCATGGCATCATTACTTTAAAGATTACAAATGATTCTATTAATACCACATCTCTAATCGAGTGACACTCAAATTTTATAGAAATTAAAGTTTTAGAAACTTCGAGAAAATAAAATTTAATGATTTGGAATCGAACCTTACGTGCCTTGGACATAAAGTTGATTTCACCAATTTGTTTGCTGATAATCACATATTTTATGATATTAATGAATATCTTCAAATATCATCCACTGTTGATAAGATATACCTCCAATAGAAACATCGTTGGTTTCACTCTTGTTTTTACACTGTATTATTGTACAATAAGGCATGATTCTATCTTTTCTTTAATAAAGATAACTGTTAGTGTAATGTCAGCGACAACTGAGGGTAGTCTCATAGGGCATATCCACCGCAAAATACTGTAGTAAGCGGAACCGTCCACTTGCGACTTCTATTCTTTTTCGGTTCTGTGGTTATAATAGATTTAATATGGATGACGACTAATTTTTGTTTGTTAGTCTATCAAGTAGATAATGGATGAGTATTAAATACGTATTTTTTATTTTTTGCGTAATCAATAAATTACGGCAAATTCGTGTAACGTCGCAATTTTGTACATTTTCTACAAAACTGTGACGTAACGAGCCCCCACTCCTCAACTTTAATGCCTATTATCTAAGCCATTCCTTATTTAAATTGAAGCAAAAAAAAAGTATCTAATATTTTACTATGTCCGACTCATGGACTAAATAGAATTTATTTTTTTTACCCACTCATCATCCCAATAACTATGTTATTTATTGTTCTAGCATTTTCTGACTCAAATACCTCTGTAGGTCTGATATATATGTTTAATATTTTATTTATTTTAGGGCTTTATTAATGACGTGATTAGTATGACCGATGAATTTCAAGTTGCTGTCAATTATAATTCCTAAGTATTTAATTTCTTTTACAAGTTCTAATGGTGTATTGTTTAATTTGATTTTAAATGCCAATTGTATTGAACCAATCTTCAAACTTAATTAGATTTGTTAAAGATATCCTGTTGCCAAGTGTAATCTAAGATATACATATAATTCATGGTACAGAATTGATAATGCAGCTTGGCAGGATTAAAACGAAATTAAGACAAGCCGGAGCAACATAATTGCCATCAATATTTGTTCTTTAATTTCTTTCTCCTTTACATTCTAAAACATCATCAATCACTATGTAGTACAATTTTATCAGTTTCATTATCACTTTTAGTAGTTAGTTTTATAACAAAGGTAAACTCACTTACCGTTTCATCAAAGAAGGATGTATATAAGGTGTATAATTATTGAATATTTTATATATAAGCATTATTTTGTATTTGAATGTCAATAGTTTCCCCAGGTTGGTATCACTGGCACAGTTCTAAATAGGTGACACGAGATATTAACCAAAAACTGCCACAGTTTTTATTAAATTACCAGTAAAAACATAAAAATAATGTTGGATACATTAAGGTTCTATTTTTTTCTTAAATATATATGCCAGTAACACATCATTCTGTGTTGAAATATTTTTCCTATGCTCCGAGGATTATTCTTATATTCAGGGCAACTAAATAATTCATATGGCTTATATTATAATAACCATGAAATGCTTCTAAACCATATTCTTGTTTGTTCACCAAGTATACAAAATGGAAAATTTTGAGTTGTTATTGAATGTGGGTCCATTTATAATATCGCACGTTGAGAATGACCATGTCACTAACCAAAAACGACGTATTTTTTACTTTTGTTAACATTTTTCTTTGTTAAGTATAAACTTTAAAATACAAAGATCAGGGATCTTTGTATTTTAAAGTAACGTAGCTTGCATATAATCTGCTAGGTGACGTAATTGTTAAGAGGGGCGGAATACAATTTTTTGAACTTCAAACGCTCATTTCTGAAAACCGTTTTTTTTTGCATTGTGTCACTATTGTTGTCAACGTACGATATTGTGTTGGGCGGTTCGGGAAGTGTTAACATTAATACTTATATGCTAATAATGTTTATTTAGATTATTTTTGTAATTTAGACCTTATTACTCTATATTACAGTATATATATCAAAGCCATTTTCTGTGTTACATGTGTCGTGTATAGTTGTGCCCTTCGAGATAAATATATAAATTTATTTATTCTGGAAAATTTTGCCCCTGTCAAACTTGTAATATGTTGAAATATGTACATACTATGCAACAGAAACATATATCATCGCATTGAAATACAAAAACCATGAATAAAGCATTTGTGTTTCTTTACTAAAATATGTTGTTCGCTACCTCTAGCATTTTCTACTTATATTTAGTTTATTTCTAGAATGTTTATATGTTTTTATTTTTATCATATTTGAAACGTCGATAACTCTCGGTTTACAAAATATAGTATCGTATCTATTGCTTTTTGCTAATTTATATACGATTATTTCTAAAAAAATAAAACTAATATTATTTACCCTGAAACTTTACTGACGTTTGAGTATGATATAAACTTGGTTTCTTTTTTCTACAGAATCTTAAGACTGGAATTCAATCATAGACTATTACCGTATTATACGGAATTGGATGCCGTGTTGCTCAAAGGGAAGGAACCTTCGAATCTAATCCGAATAAAGAACAATTTCTCATATTCTTCACTTTTTTTCAAGAAAACTCAGCCGGCTGTAGAAAAAGGTGAGCGGATTTAATTTATGTATGTTCATGTTGACAGCGGGTGTGATAGCAAATTTTATTTTATACGTTACAGATCAACGTGTTTGTTTCATACCAACTATAAATGTGGCTTATATAACACAGTGTACCTCCTTAAGTAGCTCGGTGGCGTAGTGGATAAGCGCCGCGGCCCGCGATCGTTGTCGTTAAGCAACTTTCGCAAGGATTGGTCACGGGATGGGTGACCAAAAAAAAAAAATTGTCTCGAGTTACTCCGTGCTTCGGAAGGCACGTTAAGCCGTTGGTCCCGGCTGCATTTGCAGTCGTTAATACCCTCCAATCCGCATTGGGCCAGCGTGGAGGGTCATGGCCCATCTTCCTTAACCATCCATAAGGAAGGCCTGAGCCCCTGCAGTGGGGACGTAAAAGGGCAGATGATGATGATGATGATGATGTACCTCCTTAATAGTCTAATAGTAATTTCATCGAATGCGTTCAGCTGGTAATAAAGATATCTAATAATATAGATTCATCCGTACACGTACGTGAACACAAAAATATAAATAGATATTTTTTTTCAAAAAACCTAAAACCGACACAAAATTATCTTGTAAAGACCATGAAATTCAAAAGGATTTTCTTGAATTTGGTTAACCATCTTTGTGGTTATTACAAAATATTTCCCCAATATTTTTTTGTGTTTTATTTTTCTTTCATGCGTTATGTAAATATGTTATATATCCGCTCTTCTAGCAACCATACCAAGTGTGCAAACTTACCATCGGAGCCCGTATCCTAGCGAACAAGTACTTACTTCGAATTATTCATGTCAATGCTAACCATTGTTTTCTAGAGGTATGTCTGAATCGACGGTTTCTCAACGAATCCGGAAGAATTTCAATTTTCTCGTGTTTTTCCTTCATCATAGACATGAATGCGAATGAGTAAGCTAAACTAAGTTTGCTGTAGGTCTGAATCGATATGAAAATGAATGCTATTAACGTTTTGATTTAAGGACGCCTACACAAAATACTCTTTTTCAGTTGATTTTGTATCAAGAAATAACGTTAAAATATGATGTGATTGAAAAAAAAAATAAACTATTATTCAAAGGGTTTTGTTATAGTCAAATGCGAATAAAAAAAAAACCGTTTTTTTTTTAGAAATAATTGATAAATGTTTGAGTCACTTTATAACGGAGAGTTTCAGCATTCCCACATTGACAACTCTGAGTATTACATCTTGTATTTATAGAATATTGAGTTTGGGCACTTATTAATAAATCTGCAAATAAATACCATTGAAAAAATCACAAGGTTTTCTGCTATGAAAAATTTCATTGAGCACGTATGCTAGGCTGCATTCAAAGTTTAATTTAGTTGTAACAATGCTTCCTTATTATTTATGACATTCAATCAAGTTAAAGTAGTTTTTTTTATCCACCGATAATTCCGCCAATTGTAGACAGATTTTCAAAAAAAAAATTTTTATTTGAATGCTTAAAGGACCGAGGTGTAACCATTAAAATTTTATCAAATTCGAATCACTAGTTAGCATCAATGTTTAAATATTATAAGCAATAATGATTATAATAAAAATAAAGCCTTATAAATAATTTAAGCAAACTCCAGGGCTAAAGGCGATGACACCTTTGCATTTATCTTAATGAAATAAAAAGTAGTTCAGTTTTTCTTACAGCGTAATTAATGAAAATTCGTTTTTTATTTTATTTCCTAATCTTAATGTCTCGTTGTATTTTATGCATGCTCAAGACCAAGGTTATAATCGATACGACGGAATGCACCATTCGACTTACAAATTTAATTGCTGTGGTAATTGCCGCAGTTCAGTGAATGGGCAGTAAAATTGTTGCGCTCTGCCCATTGTTTGTGCTGCAGTTCTAATTGCATATGTAAAGTGTTATAATAGTAATCTAATTATTATGTATAGGATGCCCACTGCATTGATGCGATAGCGCGTTTAGTGCATTTAGTCTGCGATGCTGTTGTTAAGCAACACTCTCAAAGACTGGTCATAGTATGAGTTACCAAAAATTAATATCTTGACCTCCTCCGTGCTTCGGAAAGCACGTTGGTCCCGGCTGAATTAACAGTCGATAATACCCACCAATCTGCACTGAGCCCGCGTTTTCCCTATTCGATTCCATAGGGAAGGAATAAACCTCACAGTGGTGACACTAATAAGCTGGTGATGATGATGAAGGCGTTACCTCGCGGAAGTCTATTGCTTTGACTCAAAGACAGTATTTGCAAGAAGTGCTGTACACCGCCCGTACAAAAATTCGCATGTACAAGCTGTAATAAATCTCGCACACATACACGTGTTTCACCAGTCCGTCCATATAGACAAAATGGCAACTGCCTAGGGTGCATGTATTCGAGGGTCTTAAAAATGTAGTGCCTGAAAAAGTTATTTTTTTGTGCAGTTTTAAAATTACAGTCTTTAATCGCTGTATATAAAAGGGTCTTTTAAAATGTGCATCGTTACACCGTTTTGCCTAGGTTTTGATATTTTAACCGACTTCAAAATAGAAGGTTCAGTTAGACCATGTATCTAAATTTTCTTTTTTAAAAAATAGAATCGTCTTTAAATTTCATTATTCAAGAAACTGTTATTGGAGTCGGGCGTTATCATTTCATAACCTATAGAAAACCGATTTCAATAGAAGTTATTCTATGACAAGCGTTTTTACAGTTTAGTTTTCATCACTCCGCATTTCTCCGTTTCAATCGAGAATGCTACTGATAGGTATTTTAATAAAATTCAACGAATACAAATAAAATAATAATTCGGATATATTACAGGTCAACTTCTGAATAAGATAATGGCATCTAACCTCCACGAGACTTTTATTCCACCATTGAGCACGGCTCTGAAGAGCAAACAGATTGACACTGGCCCTCCTTTAGGCGACTTCGATAGGTTGCCGGTAAGTTTTTCGTTTCTTTACAAAACAAACGTTTACGTTTTCTTTAAATAAACATGTTTATCGATGACAGTTTTTATAAACAAACATGTTTTTAAAACAAGCATTGTTGTTAATATATTATTATTTTTTAATATGATAAGTTATCGAAAAGTAAAGTTATGAGAAGTTCATTATTTGTAAAACAAAAACATTATTGTAAATTAAAAATCTCTACTCTTAGGGGTTAGAGTAGAGTTTTTAATACAAATGATTTTTTGAGATCCTAACCACGGCAAGAAATACAGAACCCTGATAGAATTACTTTGTTATTCGTCTATTTGTTTGTCTTCTTAAATGTTTTTTTTCGTGAAGATATAAAATTTTATTTAAAACTATATAATACTCAGGGGCGTACTTCTTTAATTTTAAAATCCTACGCAATCCCTTTCAATTTAACATTTTAAAGATATTCACGAATACGGGTGTAGACAGTAAACGAAAATAAATTCATTTTTTTTCTGATAGTGTTAAATATACTCTTACCGATAAACCCGCTTTTATGCTTATTATATTTATAACCAGTGGTCGGAATTAGGTAGAGTTATTCATGTACTTACACTGATTTCATACAGCGAAAGAATAAAGTGGATATGCCTCAAATCCCGAGATTAATTTTAAAGAGCAGAAAAAATCCCGTGATTTTTTAAATAAAAAGTTATTCACTTTTACACAATTTAAACTACTGCACGCACGACGTTGCCAAACTTACATCAATGACATCGGATGTCGAAAGAATTAGAAATTGTCCATTAGAAATCCCGGGAAGGTCCACATTAATATCAACATTTCGATGCATGTACATAAATAACTCTACCTAATTCCGACCTCTGTTTATAACATTGCTTAAATTAATAATTTAAAAAATAATATTTTATGGTCGTTGTCACGTCACCGCAAACAGCGTGAGACGTCACGTTTTATTCAAACCAAAACTTGGAGTTTCAGAGTGCCGTGACGTCTTAGCGACGCCATGATTAAAGTGGCGCATTCGCGGGAAATTTTGAAAAATAATTTATTTTTCTTATTAAATATTTCATGTATATTTATTAAATAAAAATATAAAATAGTTGTCTATATCCTTATTCATGCTACAATTATTTGACATGTCATAGCAATTGCGAACACAGTGTTTATTTTTTAAGATATTGAGTGACCGTCGTAGGTATCATTAATTTTACGTTAATTTGAATTGTCTGTGCATGCTTAGATGTAAAATATCTTTTGAAATCAGTTGAAAAATATCAAACGAAATAGTTAAATGCTAACTGCAATCTTTGTAGCTAAGTTTATTTTTGTTTCATTCGAATCATCGATTGTAACTTTAAAAGTTCCATAGTTCCGTAAATCGCTATCACAATTGCTAAAACAATCGGCCCACAGATCTACAGTTCCGTCAAGCTGTCATAAAATAAAACCTCTGAATTAATATAAAAAAGATTAAGTGGTTTATACCGAAAAAAACGCATGTTACTCAAGAGCATCAAACTTGATAGGGTTGACCTAGAACTAATGTCCAGTGAGATTGTATTGTAGTACAAGTTCAAGGAAAAATCTGTAGTGTAAATAATATAGTTTCAGAGCCTTTTAAATGCAAACAAACAATCAGTTATTTTCTCTTTATTATTAATTTTATTCATTCATTCAATAAAGTTTCAACAACAATATTGTTATTTTAATACAAAGAAATATGTATATAGCATTGACGCCAATTATAGAAACTTATTATGTTTATATTTTTATTAGAATAGATGACATTCCGTCGCGTACTAATGATACTTTCACGATACGAATGACGTATCCTGCTACCATGTGATCGGTGTATTAGAATTTTCATTTCAAATGTTCCTTAGGCATGATTTCTTACGTTTCCTTAAAGTATAGTGTTAATTAACTTTACACAAAAAGTAAACTACAAAAAAATAATGAGATTTTGTTATTTCCTGTATTATAGTGTCGTTATATGAATGTAATTTAAACCAGGGTTTCCGATCTATAGCAAAAGAACCTATCTTGTGAATTGAATCGAACCGGAGCTTTTTGAGATCGATCCGGAAAAATCGATTACATAAAGATCGATCATTAAGAATCCACTTGTCTATCTAAATTATTGAGGTTTTATCTTATTACATTATGGATATTGTGAACCGATAGTAATATTGTTATGATTATGGCGTATTTTACCAAGTTTAAGGAGATTAAAAGAAATTATTAACAATAGTAAAGATCGATTTACGATTTATTCGTTTTGCTACAATCTTGTGATCACAAGATCGATCGATCTGGGTGGAAAAAGAATCGATCCAATAAATCGAAGATGTTTTATCGATAAAATAGAATTGAGGTCGGAATCTCTTAATTAAACCTTTTTTTTTATTTTAGGACGAAACAATACTGTGCGTTATGAAATATTTAGATATGCAGTCTTTGTGCCGCTGTGCCCAAGTCAATCGCCACTTCAATAGACTCGCGTCGGATGCGATACTTTATCGTAGCATCGATCTTCGACCATATTGGCACTGTGTGCAATCTCAGGTTTGTTATCTTAGTGGCGTTACAAGTATGGGTTTTAAGAACTCTGTTTTATTCGTTGACATACAGCGGGGTCTCAAATATGGGGTAATGATTATTGGTTCATTTACATTGGTCGATGATGTACGAATGCGGGCGATTTATGTGGTTCATTTTCATTGGTCAGTCAAGTTAACGACCTCCGTGTCCGAGTGCACACCCCGCGGTTTTGAAGGTTTCGCTTTTATCGCTGTGGTAAAAGATTTTTTTCTATTTTGGGTTTGGATGTTGTGGTACCTGCATTGATTCAAATACTATATATAAGATAGATTGAGATCTTAACAACGTTTGTGATATTCATAATCAGGGCTTGGAAACCGGTTTACTTTTTGAACCGGTTCGACGTTAGTACTTCGGAACTTTACATAAAAAGATCCTTTGAACAGGTTTTTGAACCGGTTCACCGGTTCACGGTTCAAATTAAAATGGTTTATTCTGAACCGGTTTCAAGCCCAGTTCATAATGAAAAATGCCTAAAAATCCCAGGAATTCTGAGATGGGACTCGAAACCACGACCTTTTGGAATCCGTTCGACTGATATGACGATTGAGCTACCCAGGACCCAACATGACAGACAAATTTTTGAATAACAATATTTTCTAGTTATACCATTTGAATACAAAATTGATCAAATACAATAATATTAGCGATGTTTAATATTGGAACGCTAATCCCTATTTGATATTTCCAATTAGTTATATCTAGGAAAAAAAAATGTGTTCTAATATTATGTTGAAATTAAAATTTTTATTCCAGGTTTTAATGACGTTATCGATGCGGTGCAAGTTCCTACAAAAACTAGATCTCTCTTGGTGTGGTAGCCATTGTATGATACAATGCAATTATATAGTCAAGTGAGTACTAAGTACTAATTCTTCTTATATTTAATGGCTACTCTGCTCACTTTACTTAAAATACCATTATACGATTTTCAACCAAAGAATATTGAATTACCAATTCTTTTTACATGCGTTTACCACGAGCCTAAAACTTTTAACTCGACATCAATGAGCTTGTCAAAAACAAGAGAAGTCAGGTATTAGGATCCTCGAGCTTTAAATAATTACCCTCTTTTATAACTTTGATATGATTTTTAACAGCCGTATATTATATGCTATATAATTAAATAAATAATAATACAGTACATTTTTTTTATTTGAATTTGGCCTGCATACACATTCTAAATTTAATGTATCTCTGCAAAATTGACTTTGACACCCCTATTTTAGACAGTGCAATATGGTATGCAGTAAATAAAAAAACAAAAGATCACAGTGTGCGTTATCAGTATTACAGGCTATTATTAAATTAACTAATTATTTTAAAGCTAGTGAGCGATAGATAACACCACAGATGTGTGAATATTTAATTGATTAACAAAGAAAAAATAAAAATGTTAAGTATTACTATTGAGGCATCATTTATTGACTGAAGGACATAATATTAAGTGGGCAAGGAATATTTGGGTAAAATATTGTTATGAGCACAGCGGCGCGATGTTTTGTCTACCCGTTACTAGATGGCATTACGTGTCATTTGAATCGCGCTAACACCGTCGAAACTACATGTGTCCTATAGGTGTACGTCGTCGGTGAGAAATGGACGGTCATTGGGAAAGAAAGGGACGGGTAGCCGTTCTAAAACTTTTTGGTAATGCTTTAGATGCACTGCTAGGGTTTAACCTAGAACATTCTTTATGCTGGTAGAGCTACCTCGGCCCATATAAATACGCGTTGGACTATCCGTCACGGCATTCTTTCAGTGACAAGTGAATTGAAAGAGAGAGTGTTGAATACAAGCGAGAACCTAAGCGGAAACTAGTGAAGTGAACTATAGGGACTATCAAGTAGTGTTGTGAAGTAACAGCTGTGAATTGTGGTCGAAGTGTGTATTTTGTCAATCAATTATTTTTTACAATTTTATATCGCGAATTAAATTGGTGTCTTTTTTATCCTGAACCCTAAGTCGCGTAACAATATCGTAAAAGGATACTTAGAACTTATTTAATTGAAAGATAAACGCACATCTTTCAGAATGACTGACAGAACTGTGACTATCTATCTTAAATATAATTTCTTTGAATCAATATTTTTAATAACAGTATTTTTCTTTGCAGTTTTCTCAGAGATAGTGGAGTCGAATTAACACATTTAAGACTGAATTGCTGTAAATTCGTTGACAACACCGTCTTAAGAACAATCGTAGAAACATGTGCCTTTTTGCAAGGTTAGTCGTATTTTAGATAACATAAACTTTCGGAGTCCTTTAATTTGATATCCCTATTGTATTATTTGAAAGAAAAAAAAAAACATGGAATATTATGGCGTCGTACAGCCGCCATATTTTTTTTTTATGTTACCTATCTAAGAACACGCGCTACTAAGACAATACCTCAATTATGTAAATCCGTTCAGCCGATATGAGATATAAGCGATCTTCTTTCTAAGCGATAATGACGTTAACATGGGTTATCTAAAGAGCGTGAAAGACAAAATATATTACTTTTAAAAAACTTATAAGTTTTTACCCGAGTGCAAAGGAATTGTGTTTCGCTCGTATCTTGTTTGTATGTAATATTCTTATTACCCCATATCTTCGGAACCGCTGAACGTATTGAGATAATTGAGGTTAAACGAATGGCGGCTGTGCGACGCCATTGTATTTTATGATAAAAAAAAAAAACTTTCAAATACTGCAACATGGGTATCAAATTAAAGGGCTCAATACAAGTATTCCAAAAAGCTATATCATGATTATCATTACCATTATACTAATAAAGTAAATCAATGGGAATGCTCAAAAATATAAACCCTATTCTTTCACTTTCTAAATCAACCTGGTAATTTGTTTAACTCAAAAGTCATAAATATAATTAAAGCTAAAAAAACCTGCCTACGGGAAAAATAACTGAAAATTATAAAAAAAGACAAAGAGAGACTTATTATTCAAGTCCCTGCCTCCGTCTGCATGTTATATATGATTTTGCATATTTTTTTATCTTATACCAGCCTTTTCAGTTACTTGTTTGTCACGCAGGCGGTTCTTTTTTTTTGTTTTTGTTTAAATGCAGCTTAATTTTACGTCCACTGTATTTATGTCTTTTTTTTCTCCAGAGTTATGTCTCCGATCAGTGACCGGTTGTACAGACTGGATTTGCCTGGCATCATTAAGGAAATTGAAACGTTTAGATTTATATAGGACGGATATAACTACCTCTGCGGCTGTCGCTATCGTGAGGGCTAATCCAGGACTACAGCATCTGAATGTTGGTGAGTTTTATTAACATTACTTTTTACAAAAGCTATAGGATTTGAGCAACGTGACAATCATATGACCGTTTTGGGCATATGGGTGGATGAACGACTCCGCCCACATCATCATTCTAACCATTTTACTTATTATGTGGTCCCAACTACTGTATCAACGTTTAATTTTAACGATCTTCTTTTAAGAAAGCCAAACGTGCAAGCTTTGATGCACTCCGAAAATAGAAAAACATACTTCTGTCATGGCGTCGCTATGACGTCACGGCCCTCTGAAACTAATATCGTTCTATGTATGAAAATAAAATCTGTTATTAGTAAGAAGGTCGAGACGCCACGCGCTATATGCGGTCACATGACAACGAGTATAAAATATAAGTTTTTTCATAATTAATTTAAGTAATATTATAAGCATAAAAGTGTCATCGTTGGTAATAGTATATTAAACACTACCAGAAAAAAAGAATAGTGGCGTTTTACCTGAAATAAAACGCTTATTAAACTACTTACCTAATTAGAAGCTTAAAATATTGAGACAGGCATATCCGTTTCCCGTCGAATTTTACTTCTCTGTCTTCGCTATAGCGGTGTCTCTTTTGCACATTCGCGCTCAGTGGCGTTACCTGGCGGGGCGCGGTGAAGTGTTTGCAGATGTCACGTACGCGCCATTTTGTTTGTCATTGCGTCGAAATATTTAAGCACCAGGCAGATGTAAAAACTAAGCTTCTAATTAGGTAAGTAGTTTAATAAGCGTTTTATTTCAGGTAAAACGCCACTATTAAACAACTTGACCGTAATTAGAAGCTTAAAATATTGAGATCTGTTTGTTATCGCCTGGTGGAAAAACGCCAATGTGAAAAATCAAACAGAAAACTAGTGTATGAGAGAAAACAATTTATTATTTATGTAAAAACAAAAATTCTTTACAGTACTTATTTGTTACATATGAAATCATATAAATAACGTGTACTAAAAGAAATCAGTTAAAATAAATAAATAAAAAGATTTGAACTTCTAGCTCTGATTAATCAAACAAAAACAAAAATAAAATATTTTAATCATTAACAGCGTTAAAGAAATTTGTGACTGTCGCACCACTTTCTGGATTAATTATCTCACGACAACAGAACTTTTGAAATGTGTTTACTGATCTCCAGTTTCCTCTTCTTAAGATATCGTCAAGGGGAAAATTATCAATCCAGTTTCTGGATGCCACCGCGGAGCGAACGCTACCCGGTGTAGCTGGAATTTTAGCCTCTTTCAACAAAGTTTTGATCCATCCAGCAATAACTGTACGTGACGCAGGTTTCGGAGAGCCACTCAAAGTTATAAACAAATTAGCGAATCCACTCAGTGAACGTCTTTCATTTAGAATATTAATTGATCTATCTACCCAGTATACCGGATCAAGATTTTGATTCTGTGTATTGTGAAGTAATTTCCGACCAGATTGTCTGTAATCTCTGCAATCAGTTTTCGATCCAAATTGTGGCCATAATATTAATGAATCGTTTTGAATAAAGTAATGTTGATTATCAATGCATAACAAGGTAAGGTCATGAATCCTTCGTCCAGAGCAAAGCAATAATAACGTAGCCGTATGACGAACTATTTGAAACATATTGTCAGACTTGACTGAATAATTACTCAAATATGTGACCAAAGCATTAATATCCCAAATTGGAGGTTTATTTAACTTTACATTTTTCAAAGATATTGATTTTAGAATATGTTTAACTAAAACATTTTTGCTTAGTTTTTCAGACATTCGTACATTGCATAAAGTGGAAACAACAGATTTATGTAAAAGTATAGTGTTGAAAGAATAATTAAGATTTAAATGTAATTCTGCCAAAAATTGTGCTAATTGAGACCCACTAGCATATTTAGGATTTATTTTATGCATATTCGTCCACTGTAACCAACGATGCCAACAAACATTGTATGTCTTTATGGTAGAAGGACGCCATGAGGCTTTTAGCAGAGATATTTGTTTAGTGTTCCACGAATCTAAGTCTTTTGACCACCCCCACATTTCCAAATCTCCAGGGTCATGTCTTGTACTCTGGGAGGCGGTAGGCCTGTGGTCGTGTCGATCAGCCAACGTTTCAGATTCGATACTGTGTATGGAGCTGCTATGGCTCGCGCTTTGAGGTCGGCCCTCCAAAACACTTTCTCCCAATATGGCACTACAATCAGATAAATTCCTTTTGCCTGATTGAGGTGCGCTAATACTCGTGGAATAAGAAAGGGCGGTGGAAATATCCACGCCAGTGGAAAGTTCCATTTTATGCTGAAAGCATCGTGAAACATCGCTTCGTTGTCGTTGAGATCTAACGTTGCATAATTCATCACTACTCGAGCCTTCTTGGATGCGAATAGATCGATTACCGGCCAACCCCATTTTGCGAATATCGTTTCTGTGAATTCTGGCAGTAAGTGCCATTCTGGAGCCTGACGATGGCGTGACAAGTGATCTGCATGGCCGTTGAATTTTCCGGGTATGTAATGAATCTTGAATACTATCCGATGATTGTCTAAGATCCGAAGAATTTTGTATGTCCGTTTTAAGAGACCCTGGGATTTCATTCCGCCCTCGTTCCGGAGATATGCCACTGCTGTTCGATTATCCGACTGAATCAAAATTGACGCCTCCTTCAAGTGCGGTGCATGGACTTTGAGGACTTTTAGAATAGCCAATAACTCTTTCTTGTTGCAGTGCAATTTCTGTTCTGTTAAACTCCAAGTCCCCGACAGAGCCAGGTTGTTTATTTGTGCTTCCCATGCCGTGTCCGAAGCATCGGTGGTTAAGAAAAATGTTGGTGGAGGCAGATGTATTTGTGTCTTTTCCTGATAATTTTGTAGCCACCAACACATTTCTCTCATCACTTTGCGGGGTAGGCTGTGTTTTCTGGAAGTACTTGCTTTGGGTAATGTGTTTAGAAATTCGAGGGTGGCTCTGTGATTCAGTCTGCCTCGAGGAATAACAAAGCTGGCAAAATTTAAGAGACCGACAATGCTTTGCAGGTCTTTCACAGATACTTTGCCTATTTTTAATATCTGAACAACTTTTCGTTGGATTGAGAAACATTTTTCGGGGGGCAAACTCTTGCGGTTGTTCCTTGTATTCCAAATTATACCCAAGTAATCGATCCTCTTTTGGGGAGTGAGAATAGACTTTTTGTAATTTATTACGAAACCCAAGTAAGTCAGCGTTTTTACAACAGTGTTGACGTGACTGGCTAGAATAATCGGGTCCTGATTCACTATAAGATAATCGTCTAAATAGACAATTATTCTTATATTCTGCTGTCGCAGAGTTTGAGCGATCCAGTTCGTAATGCATGCGAATGTTTTTGGTGCAGTGCTTAGTCCGAACGGGAGACATGTCATTTCTAGTAACTCTTCGTTGTAAATTAGACGCAGAAACCGTCTGTGGGATTTTGCTACTGGCAGATGATAGTATGCATTGGACAGGTCCAACTTGCACATCCAGTCCCCCGGCTGGATGAAATCCGGAATTCGATACATGTTTATTAGTCGAAAACGATCGGTTAGCACATAATAATTTAATCTCTTTAGGTTGAAAATGGGACGGAATGATTCGTCGTTTTTTGGTATTAAAAACAGGTGAAATGTAGCTCGGTGAAAGGGCGGCTTTTTCTAGAACCTTTTGTTGTTTCATATGAGAAACGACTATGGACATATCGGTCGAAATTAAGGTGCGCCGATGGTGGTTTATCAGATTTGTTACACTGAGTGGAGGCCTTAACAGAAATGGTATGCGATACCCTGTTATTATACGAAGAAGAAACTTTGGTGCACCCATTTTCTCCCAATGGTGTCGGTACAGTATTAACTGACCGGCTCGAAACTTCGGTGAGTCATTGTCGATGTCTCTTACCACCTCTGAGGGCAGAGGGTGAGGACTGACGCTTTTGTCCTCTTTGAAACGATTGTCTTGTCCTTGATCCACGGGATCGAAAGGAAATACCGCCTCTGTTGCCTGTCATAAATGCACCTTGTGAATCGTGGCTGGTATAAATATGCCCTTGTGAAGGAAATTGAGTTTGATGACTACCCTGCGAGGGTTGTGCTAAGGGTTCACAGTATGTCGTATAATTTCGACTATCCCATGGGATAGATACACCACGCGATGGTATAGCATGAGAATTTTGTCCTTGCGAAGGACGACGAGTAGTGCTGGCGGGTTTTGCTCGCGAAGCATTCCCGGTGCCAGTTTTATTCACTGGCCAAAAAGTTTTTCTGACACCCCCAAACTTCTCAAGAGTCATCGTAAATTGCTCGGCGTTAAACAGGTGAGTATTTGACGGGGGAATCTGATTTAAGGCAGTCTTCATGAGAGGGTCTCTAACGTTGTTAAGAATACCTGCCCTTCTCATTTCTATAGTTTCAGCTCTATGGCCGCATACTAATTGTAAAATATCATTTGATATTTTTGGATAATCGCCATTCAAAAATATTTCCTTGATTTTATCATTAAGATTATTAAGAGAGGCATCAGTTGTTTGAGACCAGGTTAGTAAATTTCGCAAGCAATCGACAAAAAGTTCTTTTTGTTTTAATATGCCAAAAGTTATAGCAGCATAAGTCTCGTCAGAATAAGCTAAGTGGCGTATGGTATCATATGGTTTTACCATTTCATTTGTCTGCAGTTCTATAAATCCAGGTGCGTGGTTATATAATTTTTGTGTATCAGAATAACGAATATCAGACCATGTCACCTTATCAAACCTTTGCACTTCATTTAACAAGTTCAAATATTCCGTTGGTGTGTGAGGTACCACCGGATCTTTTAATTTAGTTTCAAAATCAAAATTCAAATCAACGTCACCCACGGAATTATTTAAATCATCAACAGTAACAGGAATATATTCATTATAAAGATTACCACTAACGTCTGATACAGCAGAAACATTGTCGTTATCGTAATTATTGTACTTATAGTTCATAACACTTTTCTTAAGTTCGCCCACTTCTTTAGATAATTTTTCTAAAATTTGACGGTTACGAATATGTTTCTTTGAACGATGACGACGTGTCTTCTTTTTCCTTTTCGAATAACGCTGAGAATCAGAAGAACTAGACGTTGAAGAGGTACTACTACTACTGTTGCTACTTGATGTGGTAGAATTCCGACGATGACGCGATCGCGGTTTATTAGATGCATGACTGACGTCAGAACCACCCGCCATTTGCAATTCAGCACAATTTTCTGTTTTATCATTCATCATAACACTAATATCGAATTCTTATCTAAAACAATCAAAATAATAATAATAAATAATAATGCTAATCCGGGGTAGCAAAGACCAAGAATTCGAACTCTATTGGAGTTGGTTGGTACCTTCAAGTTTGATAAAATTAACACCTCGAATCCCCAATTCAATTTCGTATAATAATATTAGCGAACGGTAACACCGTTTAATAAAGAGAAGTTTTAAGTACTCACATGTATTGTAGAAACACACGATAATGATACTAATTGAACAATAAAATCACTTAAAATTATTAATCCACTGACTATTCCGACGGGAAACTTCACGCCAATGACAAACAAAATGGCGCGTACGTGACATCTGCAAACACTTCATCGCGCCCCGCCAGGTAACGCCACTGAGCGCAAATGTGCAAAAGAGTCACCGCTATAGCGAAGACAGAGAAGTAAAATTCGACGGGAAACGGATATGCCTATCTCAATATTTTAAGCTTCTAATTACGGTCAAGTTGTTTAATAATATGCATTTATTTTCGTTTACTGTCTATACCAGTATTACTCGAACGAATATAAAAACTCTTAAAAGAATTTAATCTCAAACAAAGCATTTAAAAATTTGCCTCAGTCTCCGCTCTGTCTTAATCCGGCCCTGAGTAGCAATTATTTAAATATTTTTGCTGAAAATGATCTCATTAATATTTCTAAAAAAACATTAGGAATCTTCTGCTGTAAGTTAACTCATAATTTTTTTAAAGTCTTTTTTGTTTTTTTTTTTCCTAAATACGGCGACCTGTATCTAAATGTGCATGTTCAAGTTCGCTCACTTCTTATTATAATTACTATTTTTCAATAAATTGAGTAGTGAGAGTTGGAGGAAGTCGTTGAAGAAGCATCTCGATAGTGCGGCAATTTGAAGATACTTCACTGTTTACTACTTATTTTTATCTATTATCTAAGTTATACTTTTCGTTTGCGCTAGACTTGGTATTTTGGAGTCTCGTACCCAAAGTGTATAACTGCATGGTATTACTAAGACTTCGCGGTCCGTCTGTCCGTCCGTCTGTCACCAGGCTGTATGTCATGAACCGTGATTGTTGGTTATAGTTAATCAGCTATCACGGCTCATGACTAAAACACAACAAGATAAAATCCCATACAATATACGAGATTTTTTTGCTCGTTTCCGTTACGAAAACCTGCGTGCGCAAGTCCGACTTGCACTTGGTCGGTTTTTTAGCATTAAACTATGCGGTTCATCATACTTTAATAAACCATAGTCAATACTGTAGTGAGGTCATCGAAAATGAACAATGTCTTTGTTTTTGTGAACCTGTGGCAACCAATTTCTGATTAAACTTACAGAAATCGCAGTTACATTGCTACTTTAGCAACATAAAAAACGTGAAGATAATTCATTACATACACGCGGCATTTTTATTTATATATTTTTAATAACAAGGCACTTCACTATTCCATTGATAAAAGAAGCGTCAAATTATTGTGCATTGTAATTTGAAAAATTGTATTAATAATTTTTAACTTTTGCACATAAACAAATTCACTATTTGCACTAGAATTATAGTATTTAGAATTGAGAAAATTAATTGTGTTGATTTTTATTATACATAGCTTATACATATTTATAAATCAACTGAATTAATAGGCTACTATAGAATACTTCTGAAAGTTCTGTAGCTTATGGTAGCACCGCTCTCTTTGTGTGCTGAATAGGTAAAGTTTTACGTCTATGTGGTGACTGGCACTCGCGGCCCTGGTAACTAATGTTAGTACGTTATTATTCTAACCTTTTTACTTAATGGGACCAATTTTGTATACATACCAAGATATCTGCGTCAGGAAACCAGCACTTCCGTGACTTAAATATATTTAAGCGCCTACGATTCACGCAGACGTTGCATGAATTAATATTAGAAAATTGCCGAAACTTTTATATTATTTAAAGAAAGTACGGGCGTGTGTATTTCTCATACGTATATTTTTTTAATTAATTTATGAAACCATACACTTTTGCTAAAAGTAACATATATTAGGATTTAATGCAAACTTAATATCGTTGGTCACGTTTGAATATACAATATTCTAGTGCAAATTTAAATTGCAAATTTTTTGCAAGATTCGTCCAATTAAAGTTTAAATTAAAAATAATATTGATAAGTAAAAGAACTAAAATAATATTGATAAAACTATTCTATTATATTTATGTATCGTGAAACAGAGATTTCTTATTATTTATGTGTATGAAATTGAAATGTATGTTATGATCAGTGGTCGGAATTAGGTAGAGTTATTCATGTACTTACACTGATTTCATACAGCGAAAGAATAAAGTGGATATGACTCAAATCCCGAGATTAATTTTAAAGAGCAGAAAAAATCCCGTGATTTTTTAAATAAAAAGTTATTTACTTTTACACAATTTAAACTACTGCACGCACGACGTTGCCAAACTTATATCAATGACATCGGATATCCAAAATTGCAAAATACCAATACGCGCGATGTTGCCACGAAGGTCCACATTAATATCAACATTTCGATGCAAGTACATAAATTACTCTACCTCATTCCGACCTCGGGTTATGATATATCTAGTTAAACATTTGAGTTATCATTTGTTTTCAGGTTCATGTAAGATGATATCGGCTATGGACGAGGTAGCTATAGAATTGGGCGCCAACTGCCCACAACTTATATCTGTTGACTTCTGGAAATCTTATTCGTTGACACCTAGTGGTATACGTGCATTAGGTAACTGCCGGCATCTACAGGAACTTGACGTTGGATGGTGGTAAGTGAGCACTTATTTTTAATATAATTCATAAAAAAAAAAAAAATTTATTTAAACATGCACATCTGAATCAACGGAGAATGAGGAAGTTAAAAAACATTAGTTCTCGAAATAAAACTAGATGTCACTACAATACTTTCTTGATTTCCCCATGACAAGCTTTCCGGTTTTCTTTCATGTATAAAAGTAAATTAGTTTTCAAAACTCAATGAACAACTCTTATTCCATTTGTACGTTTTCTTATTTGTATTGATATCTAAGTTTCGAGCTTTGCAAATTTCAGTTTTTTAATATTAACATATTAAAAAAAACGGAAATGACTATCTTTGGTCCATTAGTTTCTTGCAAAAATCAACTTTTGCTAGGCAAGGCACCTCCAGGTGCCTTTTTAGTGCTTTCTTTTTTAAATACACCGACGCTATGTTTTAGGTCAACTCTCTTATCTCTTTTTATTTGAAATATAGTGTTGGAGTATAAAATTGATAATCATACTTTGTTAGCTCGCATTTGGAACAAATGATGATTAAATAAAATAATCAAGATACAATAACAATTTTGTAACTTAAATTTACTTAAGCTACTCGAGTAGCTTGGTCGTGTAGTGGATAAGCACCGCGGTCGTTGTTGTTAAGCGTCTTTCCCAAGGGTCGGTCTCGGGATGGGTGACCAAAAAATAATTATTATGAGCTACTCCATGCTTCGTAAGGCACGTTAAGTCGTTGGTCTCGGCTGCATTTGTCGGTAATATCCTCCAATAAAAGGGCTGATAATGATGATGATGAACTTAAACTTAGAGTAATATTTGCGCCTAACGCTTGTCTAAGACAATTCTATTAAATTAAAATTAACGATATCGTTCATTTAACAGACAAACAAAAATTAATCATTATTTTATAGTCTTTAATTATTTTGCTTAGCAATAAGGCCGACTTTTGTGTATTCTTTTTTCGAAAGTGTGCGATAGAGATTTGAGGGCGTTACTGCCTCAAGCTCCGAGACCGGCGCAACTAGACTTACTTGGCGTCAGGGTTTAGGACACCTGACATTAAACATCATTTCATTTTATTTTAAATTAATTCAAAAAATATAAAGTGTATTTATAATGTATATATGACAAATATCTACGATTAAAATACTTGTGTAACTAGCAATGCAAGTGTGACATAAAAAAATGGGTCGGTTACTTCTTAAAAAATGACACGCTCGATCGCTTCAAAACAATCGTACATCGCCATTCCAACCTTTATATATAAAAAATATATCTGTTAATGTGTGCTATAAAATATTTATTATTATTGTTATAGTTTACAAGCGGGTGGATCTGGTGAGTGGTTGGCGTGGTTATCTGGTGGGGAGCTGAGGAAATTGTTTTTGGGCGCATTGAGGGGCGTATGCGATAGAGATCTGAGGGCGTTATTACCTCGAGCCCCGAGACTGGCGCAACTAGACTTACTGGGCGTTAGGGCTGTCACACCTGACATTTGTGATGCGTGAGTATGCGCTAAAATATAATTTACTAGCTTTCCGCCCGCGTGGTCTCTAGGGAATTGTTTATTTGGATATCTATTATTAATATATATAACTATTGTTTTACATCACTAATTGAGACTTAGATTTTTTATCTTTACCGTCATCAGTATTTCAGATTTGTTCTATCTTGGAAATTTGACAGCTTGTAGTGTGACCTGATATGATGTTAAATTTATAGTTGATGACGTGTGTTCTCTACTGTGTAGATATGATATAAAAAATACATATATTTCTTTAAATACATATATTCTTGATTGTTCACATATGTGAGATTAAAAATAAAAAGTACTTGTCTTTATTTTCATACAGTAAAATTATATATACACTTATCTTAATATTGTGCTGCCTAAAAAGATGGTTATAGGTATATTTGTGCTGGTATATAATGTTCTTTTATTTTACAGGATATTAGCCGAGTGCCGCGAACTGAGACTGCTCGATGTCAGCTTCTGTGATCAGATACACGAATCGCAAGTATTATAACGTTTCGAATACCTTATTATTTGTTATATTTGCAATGTAAAAGTCTAACAAAGTAAGAAAATGCATCTTGATATTCAGAAAATTCATAAAACGCTAAATTTTTTCCCGCAATAAATATATTTGTCAAGTGACTTGAGGCTTAACTAAAACTATGGGTCAGAGATCAGATGAAACAAAATAAGCATACTTATAAGATATGTCGTCATTACAATTAGCTACTTGATAGTTAAAACAATAAATTATAAAGTATGTTGGAAATGCTAATTTATATGTAAACAATTACTATGTAATATTTTTTGTTTCAAAATAAATTGTAAGTATATATTGTTTTTGCATATTCAATTTGCGATTAATAATTCGAAACTACTGGACCAATTTTAAAAATTATTTTAAAACCTACGTGTAGGTGAAAGAATTTTATTTTATGGCCTATGTTCTATAAATAACGTCAATCACATGACGTTTCGAGCCGTGACGTCACAATTCAATGTGACGAAATGTCATGTGACTGATAATTTAAATTAATGAAAAAAGAAATGGTTTGCCTTGACAACACTTTACTATAACATTATTTGGAGAAAAATAAACCCGATAGTTGTTTAATATAGAAAATTAAAGTTATAAATACTTTTTACATCTACACTCAAATCGAAAAATTCAAAGACGATTTTATACATACGCACTTTATAAACGCTATACATAAAAATAAAACTTATTATAGTACCGCCAACTGTATCATAATAGTTATTTAAGATACGAGTGCGGAAAGTAAGGTTTTACGAATAAGGGCCAAATTGAAAACACGAGCGTAGCGAGGGTTTTCATTGGCATGAATTCGAAAAATTTTTTACGCTCAAGTTTCTTACAACATTTTTCAATGCTTTTTGCGAGAAAAATAAAACAAATATATAGGTTAATAAAACTATATAAGTATGTATTAAAGGTTAAAATTATTTGTTAAAATTAAACGTAAAAATTAACATGTTTTCGTGTCATACATTTTTATTTGAAAATATTCGTTCTAGGCTCCTTGAAATACTTTTGCCTCTAAAGTTTACCATATTTTCATCAATGTTGTTTTAATTTCTTTGGTGCTCGGCCAAAAAAAATTAAAAAGTACTTTTAAGCACGTGTGCAGTAAAGGATTTCAGTACATTTTTATTTAACACGTGTTTAAAGACTCATTTTCGGTGTTTACAATGGAATAAAAAATTGCGCTTTATGAGCAACTGCATTGAAAAACTCATTATAGTACCGCTATCTTTTTTTATTCATTACACTTGTCTATGGTTTCAGGCTGAATATGAAAAAAAAGCGCACGCTTGCGCAGTTCGAACTGTTAAAAAAATGGCGCACGCATAAATTACTGCCTTGTGACCTATCTACTTTGTTTAATTTCAATATTTCCTATGAGTGAAGATAAAGTAGGGTATGAAACTGCATATAACTTAGCTATTAAAACACTCGAGTCAACCTTTTATAGCATTCGACTTCGCCTCATGCGATAAACAGACTCGTGTTTTAATACCTCTTGTATGAAATAAACTACTATTTCAATACAGTCAAGGAAACAATTATATATTTCCTATTATATTTTTCCCATAATGTTTGAATTTCCATAAATTTATGAGTTAACCTTTTCCAGGTTCTGGAATGGCGAGAACAATACCCGCACATCAGTATTAAACGTTCGTTCCAATCGGCCAATTTGAATACGGCACCGAATTCTCTGTTCCTAGCGCCGAGCTTGGAGTGAACTGATTAAATTTAAATAATTCCTATTGAAAACATATATAACTATTTTTATATTACTATAAGAAAAGTACTCAGAGTGCGATATAAATATTTCTTGTTGTATTCTAAACAAAATTATAAAATTTATTTTTTTATTGAAAGTCTAAAAAAAAAGGAAATTGACGTCAAAAATGTGTATATATGGCCGCCAAAAGAATGCTTTACTTACAGCACCTTACAGTTTGTTTATTGCATTAAATAAATCTCAATTTCTAATGTTAATTTCATAACACTTTAGAATGAATCCCAAACTTTATTATTTCTAGTAAAATTGATTCAGTTTATTCTAAGTAACTTATGGATTGTTAATTTAATAAAAATGACTTTTGAATTTAATAAAAATGGCTTTTGAATTCATTCAGTTTTTTAGTAAAATAAGATAGAAAAAAGTCGAGGACGAAATAATTTAACTAATTATTGTAGAAACACTCTGTATCATTTATTTGCCAAATGTCCATTATTTTTGAATAAATTAATGAATGTTTTCCGAGAACTAATACAATTGAAATGTTTTTATTGACAGAAGTAACTATCATGTAATTTTAAGAAACTCTTTTTCATCTTAAATATTCAAGCTCTGATTGTTTATAGATGCTGAGCATAAATTTAAGAATTAACAAAAAAACTGATAAACGGATTATATTATGTTTACTTAAAATTTGGTTTTGCCTCTGAAATAAACCAATCACACGGGATCAGATATCCAGCGATAAATATTACACATCGACATTTGGTAAGAGACAATTGGATAATTTCGATGATAGTTATAACTTTACTAGTACAGATACATGAATGCAAAGGAAATTACGCCACCTTCCTAATTCAAACAATTCGTCGAAGTGTCTTTTTTCCTTAGTTTTTGCACTAGATGGCGTTAGTTACGGTCATCCAAAATGGCGCTGTCTCTTCAACTAGTATACCTCTTAGTAATGTGTAGTCAGTAGCGGCAACTAACAAAAAATAATGATTTTTATTGAAAAGTACCATCTGGTGTAATATAACATTATCATAAATATCTAAATGACTGTGAAGAGCAACTACAAAGCGTTTTATTTTTTATTTTTTTTATTAAAAATAGTTGTGTAGATAGTGCGCGACTGATACAACCCTCCGGTTGTCTTTTTAATATGTCGGTATGCAGTATTTATCCAGCTAATGTACTTAAATGTGTATGCAGGCTATAAATATATCTAGGGACGCAGTTTTAAACATTTGCATAATATAAAGTGATGTGATGAATTAAAGTATACTTACTTTTAAGATATCAAATGTCTATTGACATGTTAGTAGTAAGATTCGATTCTAGTGGTCGTTAAAGCGCACTTCGCTTTAATTTTAATTATTCATAAAGATTCATTATTGAAAGACTGATTAATGATAATTTCAGAGGGAAAATTTTGACGAAGATAATGCATTTATTGTAGACGAAATTTGAACGAAACATGACTTAATTCTGTTGCTTAATTTACTTAACCTCGGTACTAATATATAATAAAAAAACTACTTACGTCCAGTAAATGCATTCGAATTTCAACCTTTTTGGAACTTATTAAAATACATTTCTACTAAATTGCAATTTCGATTCTGTTTGTGTTTTGTTTATTACTTTATTCGTTTTTTTTTGTTCGGTTAATGACATTGCCCTTTTTTTCTGATTATTAACGGACAGTATGGCAACTACAATTGATTGTAATGCGTTTAAAATTTATCTCATAATATTGTTATTCACATAAAAATCACAATGACTTACTGGTTTCTGCTAGCGATAAATGTACAATTCGATTGCTAGTTCGAAACCGTGTCGCAAATCAATTTGGTTTTCTTTAGAAGCTGAATGACTGTAACTGTAGCTCATAGCATTTTAATCTTTAAAGAAAAATATGAAAAACGTTTAAACTCCTTAGTTTTTACTAATGTAGTAATAGTTTTTATAATAAAGTCGAGAATCCTTTGACACCTATTGTTGCCTTGATTGACTTATTGTGAAGTGACTTATAGTGGCCTAGCGATCGAATTGTAACGAATCAACATCGATATTACCAAGGGAGACCCTTATTTGCCTTATGTAATAATTATTTATAATGCAATAAATTAAAATAACTTATTCATTATCATAATATATTTGCCTTTCGTTATTGTGTATAGCAGCTGAATATTAATAAAATATGACTCGCTATTATTATAAATTCACTTTCCACTTGTTCGAGTTTATTTTTTAGAATAAAAAGTTTCGTATGTATAAATTTAAAAGTATAAATTCATATTAATATATGTGTGTATTATGTGATTTTGCAGGACAACAATAAAGCTACTTAAAAAGCTCCAACTAGAGTTTTTGATGCAATAGGGTATTCGAATAATATTGAAAAATTGTTTAAACTTACAAAATAAGCACATTTTATAAATATTTCGGGGAAATTTACTCTATTTACCAATAAAAATCAAAGTCAAAGATTAAATTTCAGAAACCGCTCCAAAAACGCACTGTATGACGTCACCTCAAGTAAATAAATAAACCTCATCTAACTAAAATCGTCAACAGGAAGCCATATTTACTAACGTATGACGTCATTGCAATTGCAAACACTTACAAGGCGTTTTCGTCTCATTTAAAATGACAAATAGTATTTATCCATCTAGTAATATATTTATAGAAAAGTCTTGAGTGCAGCAAAATGTGTCCAATAAATATCTATTTAACATACAAGCAGTAGTTTATTAGGAAATATGGTGTATGCATAATAAATAATTGTTAAATATATAATGGAACATGTCAATTACTTCTTGTCAATTGTTTTTAATTATTATCTGTTATATTTTTCGAGTGATATTTGAAACCTAAATGAAAACCTTTGTATTATAAAGGAACTAATATTAAGTTCTTTTTATGGGGGTCAGTGGCGCTTTATAAATAAATATATATTATTATCACTGGTATCTATAGTCGAGAGAAGTTATTACTTGAGAAAATGGTACTACTTAAGTAGATATTTTAACCTATTTGAATGATATAAGTACTGTTAATAAGTAAAAATAATAGTATCCTTGCTATTTATAGTTAGTTCATTAAAATTGTTGTTTATTTCTTAAAAATATTTGCGTAAGTAATTACTTATAATCGGCTATAGATTCGATGTGAATTTTATTCGCACTCCCATATTATTATTTATTGCTAATGACTTGTTAAAAGAAATAATTGCAAAGAAATTTAATTTGGATTAGTGCATTTCAATTTTATTATATGTATAATATTAATTATAAGATAATATTGAATTGCAATAGTTTTTGATGGATATTGTTACGAGATGTTTCTAAATAAACCTTCGATTTCTTTTAATAGTTTGTTTTATTACGTTTAGTTTAGTTTTCATTTGTTTATTAAACAGTAAATAATGGTTCAAAAAGAGTACCTTACAGGAATGATGACTGGATAAAAAAATCTATTTAGTCCATCAGTCAGATAATAGATTAATGTTAGATACGTATTTATGCTTGCTTCAATTTAAATAAGAAATGACTTAGATAGTAGGCATTAAAGTCGAAGAGTGGGGGCTCGCTACGTCGCAGTTTTGTAGAAAATGTACAAAAGCGTGACGTCATGCGTCATTTCAACTCATTGTATCGCCGTAATTTATTGATAAGGCAAAATATAAAAAATACGTGTTTAATATTATTCAATTATTGTTTGAAAAAGGTTGCATACTTCCACAACGTATGTATGAAAAAAATATTGTCTCTTATTAATATGAATATGAGTAGCTCAGTGACGTACGTTGTGGATAAGCGCCGCGGACCGTGATCATTGTTGCTAATCAACTTTCACAAGGGAGTCCATAAAATGGATTGGTGATCATAAATTTTTATCTCAAGCTACTCCGTGCTTTGGAAAGCATGTTAAGCAGTTGGTCCTGGCTGCATTTACATTTGTTTATACTCTTCAATCTTTATTAGGAGTGTTGTGACCTATCTTCCTAAATCATTCATAGGGAAGGCCTGAGCCGCTGAAGTGGGGACGTAAAAGTACATATGATGAATATGTATGTTTTAAATAAAAAATAAATCTAAGTAGATTCTTAGATTAATATCTTTATTAAATATTTAAGACAGAATCTTAGATTATCTCAACACGATGGCGCAATGGCTAGCACGTTTGGTCATTCACAAAGACCGGTAATGAGTGAAAAATGTTATATTAAGTTGACAGTCTTCATGCTTCGGAAGGTAAGTACATTCAGTTGGTCTTGGCTGCATCGACAGTCGTTAGCGGTCGCCAGCGTGGTGCGTTATAAGCCGTTCTTTTTATCTGGAGCAAATGGAGTTGTCCCATTTAATCGTCGGCCTGAAAATAAGCTAGGTGACACTGACAACCTCTTGTGCAGAGGATGCATGGAGACAGAAGAAACAGCCGACTATCGGGCAAAGTACCTCGGCTCGCCGGGTAAGTTCCAGAAGGCGATCATGCCGGCCCCATACTCCACATTCAAAACAGGCGCAATCATGACATGTATTTACGTAGAAGCCCGTTGGAAGAAGAAGATAAGCTTACTAAGATTGGTTGGATTGTATTCATAGGGGTGACTTCTGCCAATAGGTACTTCAGCAGTGTAGGTCATGTATAAGTACCTATGATTATATACAGTAGAACTCGCTGGAAGAAGAAGATAAGCTAACTAAGATTGGTTGGATTGTATTCATAGGGGTGACTTCTGCCAATACTTCAGCAGTGTAGGTCATATATACCTATGATTATATACAGTAGAACCCGCTTTATACGATTTCTCACATAATACGTCATTTCGCGCTAGTCCCTGTACATCAAGACATGTTTTCGTACATACCTTGACGTTTATAATGATTCGTCCTGTCTATACGGGAAAACTTACACTTCGCCAAGACTTGAATTGGCGTAGCGTAATTAAATCCAAATCAAATCATAGATCTAACATACAAAAAGAACAGAACGAGAAAAGAACGAGAACGCGAATAACACACAAAAAGAGGCCTAAGTGATAATGAGGATGAAGATGTTTCCGAATTTGTCAAACTAGACATAGTCAGCTGTTAATGGTTTAGGTTATTTTGTAGCTTCTTAGCTAGCTTGAAACAAAGCGGCGACGCACTGAAAAAAATAGATTAGGTGCCTATGTTTAAATGTCATAGGTAATTGCTAAATACATACTTAATTTGTTTTTGTTAAACCAAATTAAGAGATCACTTTATAAAATCTAATCTATGTGTTGAGGCCATCTACATTTTTCATTTTTTTCTCGGCGTCAGCGATCCTCTTTTTTCTTTTTATTACATCACATTGTATTTTCATAAATATTTTATGGTTTCATTATAAATAGTTCATTAATTACCAATGTGAGAGACATAATCAATATTGTTATTTTCTCCGTTTTCAAAGATCTCATTATTTCAATACACGATATCTATAAAGGTTTAAATAATATAATACTTACATGAAATTAGAACGTAATCCATAACAATAGTGTGCTTTTAATTTTCCTATCCCGCACAATACGTTTTCTCGCTATGCGTTTTTTGTTTGGTCCATGTGAAATCGTCTTAAACGGGTTTTACTTTATCATTGAAGATGTATAAAACGATCGAGTCGACTAAGACATTACTACACGTAAATTACAAGAAAGTATTAGACAATTGTATCCCTTACTCTATTATATTGCTAGGAAAACAAATAGGCACCTTCGCCATGCCATTAAGGTCGTTACGTTGAATTTATAACACTACGAGGCGGTTATTTTACCGGCACTCGTCCGTTAGCTGCTGTGGCCTAGCCGTGACCCTATAAGCCGATTTTATTTATATAGACCAGCATTAAATTAACGACATGTTAGAGAATAAAGGCTATAAATATAATTCACATCTATATTTGGTTTGTTTATCAAGTTTTTTAAAACGTCTACAGACATTTACATGTTAATTATTAAAATTGTTCACACAACAGCACATTTGAGTACCTACTAGGTAGGTGTGCAGCCGATGATGGACTTGTAATTGAAACGTTGGTATAATGTAGAGGTTTATTTATAACAATTTTCACTGTCAGAATTTTGAAGACTGAAAATCGATTTGAGAAATCAAAAAGGAATTTAACTGAAAATTGGATGGTGCAAGTAGTTTTATTTTTAATTTTCGATTTTCGTTTTGAATATGTCAACCCCATCATGCCATACTTATTTGATTCTAGTTTTTGAAAATATTCTATCGCCTATGTTCATTAGGCATAATGTTGACCGTGAACTGTAGTATGTGGAGATCACAATAGATCAGCAATGGTCGCAGTGATACTGGGCTGCATAAACCCAAGATAATCCGCAACTCGAAACAATACAATACAATAGGCATAATGTAATATTCTAATGGTAAAAGAATTTCTCAAATCAGTCTATTAGTTTTGGAGTCTATTAAACGCAAACAAAGAAACCATTCCTCTGATAATTAGTATACTTAGATACAGAAGCTAATAGTGTGACAAGAATCAAATACACAAAATTTAATATAACCTATAGATAAATCGAACCTAACCTGATTGTGTTTATCCATTTTTTGAAGAAATTATAAGCAGTATTTTTCATTCGATTTTTTGGATCTTACCTAAGGAGTATCGAAATCCCTCTTTCTGTGTGTTGCCTCAAAGGGAACATTAAATTAGATTTTTTTTTGGAACAATAACTTAAACACCTTTATTTTGAATTTAAAATTGTCATCCAATAAAATTCCAAATGATATCAGGAGTATCATATCATAGGTACCTACAACCTACAATTAAAAAACTAATAGAATCTTCGAAATCTATCCACTGCGTAGATTCAAATAAAGGAGTATTTACGATGTAATCTAAATCTTCAATATCAACTTCATTGATATTAAAATCTATATTGTCAGCACTCTTCATTTGTTTCAAATGTTTTCGTATTAGTGTTGAAGTTTTTCTTCTGCCATTAACAACAGATTTGTGTTTAATTTTTGATTCTAATGTAACTGGCACTGATAGCTTTTTCTGTAAATCTACAACGGTTATAATCATTTAACCACTGTGGGATCAGATTTCATTTTTATTAAAGAAGTTTATGCATCTTACAGTCTCCAGAATATCCTCCAAATAGTTATACGGTACCAGAGACGTGTAACATGTTTTATTAATCGGTTTTTTATTCAATGTTTCTAAAGGATGCATTGTATATTTACTTGCCCTGAAATCAGTCGATAACATAGGAATGCGATTAGATCCAGAAGGAGCGCATTATTCCCAACCGTATCTTAAACTTTTGTTACACCAGTAATAATATGTGCCATGTCGTTTTGTGCAGTATTCCTCAAAGACAACTCTACATTCCGCTTTTCTAATATTTCTGTCTAGGATTTTGCCAATTCTTGCAGGTGCAAAATGATTACCTCGAATGTTGTAGCTGCAATAATCCCAATCACCGTTTACATTGACTATACACTTCTTGCGGGCGCAAATTTGTAACTTCGAATTTTGGAGCTGCAACAATCCTAATCACTGTTTACATGATGATACACCATTCGTAACCGTAACCGAATTTGCCATAGTTGCTAAGACAGTAGTAGTTAAGTTTTTCTTTTTGCAGATATACGGTAAATAGGAGCAGCCCTGCGATTCTCTAAAAATCCAAAGCCGAATTTGAATTTACTGAGGTGTCCGAATTTACTTCATAAGGAATTGATTTGGCAACAACACATTCATTACAGTCAAAGAACTAAGTTTAGGAAGTAATGAAAAATATTTAATTTATTCTACTACAACATGCCATTCTTCATTTCTTTAATAGCAATTACCTTTATGTATATCAAACCCCTCTAATGTCGTTTGATATATATCGCTTTGGGGGATAAATAAATCTGCAAATTTTTGCATTATATCATAAAAAGCATTACATTAATATTTTTAATAAATCACCACTTAATCTAATAGATCTGCCAATAAATAATAACATGTTCAAAAATATTATATCAATGGCATTTAGACAGGAATTTTTATTAGGCTCATGAATACATTGAATCTAAACATTAGTATTGTTAGAATAATGATTGATGAAATATATGAGTTGGAATAAAAATTTATTGACATGTAATTTAAAATCTAATGAATAGATAATAATGCTATTTATTGACAATAAAATTAATATAAATATAGAAAAGTAAAAAAAATATATAATGATGAAATGTATATACAATGTGTTTTATATAGTTTTTTTTTTACTATTGTCACTTTTTTATTGCAATTTGCATGCCTGCAAGAATAAGGTTACATAATATTTGGTTTTGAAGCATTGTTGAAAATCGGAATGTAGATACATATTATTGCGCAAATAAAATACTTTGACTTTTACTTTAAACCAATATTGGCGTCATTAGAAGGTTGTTTTGCATTTATTTTGTCGTTCATGTCAAGAAAATCAGTGTAATGTCACATGATTTTTAAATACAGTTTCGTTTTTTAAAAACAGCAGCAAAAGCCGAATACTAATAAGAAAGATGTAATAAAATTGTTTTTCTGTATGAAAAAAAACATGAGATAGATGAAATTATAAGATCCTGAGATGTTCTTTGAAAACTTAAAGTGTGTTATTTCTCTTTCGAATTTATGTAAATATCTAGACATTACTATGTTGAACTTAACTGGATTTTAAAGTTGAATGGAATAATATTTTCTGCAGTTGCCTACTTGCAATACTATCAAGGTTCCATGAATTAAAGGATAAATGTAAAACTCTTCTTTATTAGTAGTGAAAAAAACCAACGGCATTTTATGGAGGAGAATGTCACTTTCATTAGAAAATAAAAGTAAAAGGATCATACAAATGACCGAACTCATGTCGCTCCGGGCCATGGTCCTTTTAGACCTAGATCATGGTTTCTCAAACTTTTGACTCTACGAACCTTCGTAAAAGATTCTGGATAACAGCGAACCCCTTAACTAACTGATCGAATGCCCTCCCCCTTAAAAATGTTAGGAGTAATTTTGTACAATGTAACCTATATCGTAAAGTATAATTCATAAAGCCACCATTACGTAAATCTTGTCGCGCACCCGCTACCGTCGAATGGTAGGGGGTTCGCGACAAGATGTACACCACTTTGAGCACCCTGATCTACAGTAAATACGCCTCTGGGTGATCTATGTACCTTTATACGTGTATATAAAAGAGCTTTGAACTTTGACTCGTTGGTTTAGGCCGCCCGTTTCAGTAATTGTTATATTATCATCATCTGCTTTTGAAAGGACCGATGCTGAATTAATTTGAGTCAAAAGTTTAATTAAGTCGGATATGTTAATTTCTAAAAAGGATATGTAAGTATCTTTGTATTTTTAAAGTTATGTATAATCTAAATGTTATAGAATGGCTTGACTATTTAATACCATTTTCAAAAGGGAGGAGGTTATAAAATTCAGCCGAATCCCTTTTTATGTGTAAACTAGCCTGCGACTTCGTCCGCGTGGTAAAGTTACTTTGAGCGGCATTTTTAACGAATATTTATTTATTCGTTCCATTAGGTACTAATGGGTTCAAACTAATACATTTACATCCTCTATCATCCCTTATTTTATCCCCATGGGGTTTGAATTTATCAAAATTCTATTAAAGCGGACGTCCGCTTCATCATAGTAGCTCCGCTCCAATCTTTAATTTCAGTTCAATCAGTCGAAAATCTAAGAAGATTTATACAAACTTTCATCCCCTATTTTCACCTTTGAGTTATATATATTTAGATTTGTTTCTCGATTATTTTCCTGAAACAATCTGCTAATCTAAACTTACCGAAGTATAGTTTAGATTAGCAGATTTTTTTTTTGTATATCTGAATAATTGATATATTTAGCTCACGTTTGTCACCTATTATTAATAGGTAGGCACTTATGTCAAGAGCTTCTCTTGGAGTCTTAAGTCTTTTAGTTTGGCATTGATTATATGACCTTCATGGTGTGATTACTATTTATTGTTTAATGAATGAAGGTAATATCTTTGTACGTTTTTATAAGCATCAAAACTCACTGCAAATTATAAAACTCAACGGAAAAAAAAGTAAATAAAAAGTTGATACTTTATACTTGGAATGCAATAAATATTCTTAAAAAATCCACTTTCCAATATATTAAGATAAATCCATGAGAGTGATTCTAAATGGATTTTTACAATTTTACGTTCACATAGGTACAATACCAGTATGTTAGGTTAGACAATTTGAAATCTGAGTGAGACCTAAGCAGTAAGTATATTAGGTTGTTAAAGGATTAATAATATTTTATTTTAACATGCATTTATTTCGTATTGTTTATGAAGATCTGTCATACATAATAAAATTAGCGTACAAATGCAATTTTTTATGTACAAATGAGTTTTTTTTCTATATAAAAACAAATAATCATTAAAAAAAACAAAACAGAATATTCTCTTTTCTTAGAAGACATTAAAAATACGTGTAGGTAACAATAAACCTAATAAAATATATTCCTGCAAAATATGTAAGTTCATAATTTTATGGTAAACTGATGTACTGCATTTGTACTGCTGTGTGTAACTAACATTTATTACATTAGGTACACCTACTCAAACATTATAAACGAGTTTATTGTTTTTTATTGCAGTTCAAGGAAAGAGGTGAACTCGGTCGGTCACTTCATCAAACTGATTTAATATAATAATTTTATTTTGTCAAAAAAAGATTAAATTTGTAAGTTTCTCGTTGATTTATTGAATTTAGTAGTGAATTAGTTTTATGAATAGGTATTAAAGTGTCACTATCAAGATAAAATATCTCCACTTTGTCTTTCGGGTCAAAGATAATGATAAATAAAGACTGAAGTTCTACATTATACGAGTGAGTATCAACAATACTTAATAATTAAGATCATTAAGTTAAGCTGAATAATAATATTTTCTTCCATTGTGCATACAATTATTATTAAAAAAAATCACGCACAGATCGTAGTTAAGAACTAAGAAATATTTGTACGAATAATTCTATTTTTTAAACATTAAATACAAAGGGGTCAACCATTGGTTACGTTACACGAAATTTATGATATTTAAATCCCCTCCCCCTTGTCACAGTTTGTCAAATAAATTCTATTAAATATTGTTCTAAATTCACACTCAGTGACGTAATTTATGGATGGAACCAAATATAAATGTTACCAAAAATATAGAATGCCTTCGATATACATCAAAATTTTACTCCGTACTCGCTGTTGCTTAACTAAGGTATAAATTATTTAATTGTATAATCAAATACTTACTCTGGAAATGGTGATGCGTTAATTTTTACATAAGTTCGATATATTTATTAAATAACTGTGATATCAATTGATTATTTTCGCAAATTAAGATACAGTTTACTTACCTGCCCACATATCAATATGAATCTCCTTTCAATAAATTTAAAACCGAAATGTTACAACCGTTCCGACTAATATAATTCGCTAATTTACACATTGTTTACTATTGATTAAAAAACCATATTCTGTTTAGAAACTTAACATAACTCGTAGGATATTTTATAAAGTTTTATAAGTAAATTGTTGTCCTACAACGTCGCCCCTGGTTTGGTACCGTGGTACGATGTAGTTATGATGTACGATGTAGTCGTCAAAAAAGAATTTTTAAAATAGGTCTAGAAGTTTCGTTAACTATTTAGTACAAATAAGTAGTAAAATCATTCCTATTTGAAATTAGTTTTATATACATAACTATTGAGATATGTAATTTGCATTAGGAGTTCTAGGGTTTGTCGAAAAACATAGTCATACTTATTATGTTCAAAACTGGTTTCGTAATCATCAAGGTTAAATTGGTATAATTCTTTTTCCTTATCCTTTCTTCATTAGCATCTGTATCGGATATTTTAATACTTACAGTATGACTTTTATGTTGTTTATGGTAAAACAATATTTACGTTAAGTTTCATAAAAAAGAATGACTTTCTGTTCCCAGCTTCGATTCCCGGTCGAGTCAATGTGGAAAATTTACTTTTCTATATTATCTCGTGTTTGTGTGTTATGGTAACGTCATCGTTCCAGGCACATTATAATACCCTTGGTATTATTTTGAAATCCAAGCAATGCATGATTTTGTGTATTATTTATTTATTTTGTTACATAGTATAAAACGAAGTCGTTTTCTCTGTCCCTATATTCTATGTATGCTTAAATTTTTAAAACTACGCAACGGATTTTGATGCGGTTTTTTTCATAGATAGGGTGCTTCAATAGGAAGGTTTTTATGTATAATACAAGACCACGCGGGCGAAGCCGCTGGCGGAAAGCTAGTTTTGTTATAAATTCTAAAATTTATTTGGACTTTATTAGTTTGACGCCAAAATTATACTCGAAATTTTTAACAATGCATTCATTTGATGACTATAGTTTGTACCTTATAGAAGAAACAATGCCCATGCGACAATATATGGCCACATGCTATTTTGTATCATACATTTATCACTATGAATAGCTTGGCATCTTTTAATGATTACTTTTTATGTGTAATTTGTGGGTGGTACTAATTTGTGATGGTGTCGATAGTAACCCTAAACAGGCTGTAACCGCTATAGCCCAGCATTTAACAAGCACGGCTACATCCCTAGACTATTGATAGGAAGCAGTATCAATGGTGCGAAAACTTGTGCCTCTGCGATCGCCAACCCGTTTGCCCAGCGTGGCGATTATGGGCAAAATCCCTCTATTTTAATATACACCACAAACAAATGGCCTCCAGTTCTTGGTGGCCCTGCTTGGCCTGACCAAGGTGGCGGTCAAGGTAACGGCAGGGCAGGGGGTGCGATGATATCATCTACCCCGGGTTATGGTAGGCCGCCCATTCCAAAAGACCATGGCAGCGTACAACAGACGAACTCTTTGGCTGGATGAACATCTGACTCAGTTGATCAGAGATACGATCGTTCTGTTCACCATCGATATTGTAGTAGCCTCAAGTGCAGCCGTACGTTACAGCAGACCATATTCACGTTTTTCTCGTGTTATGTAACCTACCATCGGAAATAAAAACATATGTGTATATATCGCAAGTTGAGAACGACAGTGACACAATGCAAAAAATGCGATTTTGAGTAATGAGCGTTTAAAGTTCAAGAAATTGTAATCAGCCCCTTTAAACAACGTATCGCCACTACGCCACCTAGCAGTTTCTATGCAAGCTACGTTTACAGGGATCTTTGCATTTTAAAGTTTATACTCAACAAAGAAAAATGTTTTCAAAAGTAAAAAATATGTCGTTTTTGGTTAGTGACATTGTCATTCTCAACGTGCGATATATATATAAACGCGGTACTACTTATTATTGCATATCTACCTATACCCGGAGTTAGACAACAGTTTTATCCGTATGTTTACAGTTTGTTTATCACGATTAAAATAAAGATGTAAATGTTAATAATATTAAATTAAAAAAATATATCAATATTTTAATTTTTTTTTAATCTTCATAACTATTTTCTCGATATTTAAGAATAGGAAAAATGTACATTGATATAAGGGTTGTAATAAAGCTTATTGGTATAAAAAGATAATTTAATTTCAAAGCGTGTACCTTTATTCTAACGCATTTACAACAATAAATGTTCGGTTCCCGTGAAATTTGATAGGTGGGTACTATATATTTTATATATATATATATATATAAAATATATATATATAGGTATATATGCATTACTTTTTTAATTTGTATATTGATGGCTTGTTGGTGGAACTTGGGAGATCCGGTGTCGGCTGCCATATGAGCAATCAGCCTGTAAATAATTTGAGTTATGCGGACGACATGGTTCTCCTGAGTCCCTCCATCAATGGATTGAAAAAATTACTTAATATTTGTGTAAAATATGCTAATGTACACGAATTGACATATAATGTGAACAAGACTATGATATTTGGACAAAACAGGATAAATAACTTTAGCCCAAAAATTTGTCTTAACGGTTCTGTCATAAAACAGGTCAGCAAGTTCAAATATTTAGGTCACATAATAAGAGATGATTTAAGTGATGATGATGATATGGAACGTCAGAAAAGAAGTATTGCTGTTAAAAGTAACATGCTGGCTCGTAGATTTTCTAAATGCAGCAAAGCCGTGAAAGTCACTCTTTTTAGTGCCTACTGTCAGGCGTTTTACACCAGCCAGCTGTGGACCAATTTCACGCAACGCGCCTTTCATGCGTTGCGTGTGCAATATAATAACGCTTTCAGAGCAATGATGAACCTGCCATGGCGGTGTAACGCGTCCGGCATGTTCTTCGACAATAGGGTTGATGATTTTTTTGCAATTATGAGAAAAAGGGCTGCCGCTTTCAAAGACAGAATCAGAAATACCAATAATAAAATCTTACTATCAATCTATGACTCATGTAAAATGATTATATGTGATTTATGAGCGATTCTATAGAATGTATTAATTTAATGTTTTATTTATGTTGTTTTTAATTTGATTTTTAATTTTTTAATATGATCTTTAATTAATCTTCGCGGCATTTAGATATGACGATGATTTAATGTATATTAGATAATTGTAATGAATTTACTTATTATTATTATTATTATTTGTTTATATTTTTGATTTTACTTTATTGCATGTTTTAATTTTCAATTTTATTTATTTGTATAAACTAAATTTTGATTTGTGTATATGAGTGTTAATGCTTGTAATAAATGGAATTATTATTATTATTATAATTGATAAAAGTTAATCGCCGAAGGAAATGTTATATTCTGCTTTATTTAGTCAGAATGAAATAACGGTTTTCTGTTTCCAGAAATATTCTATTTTTCCAGAAATGTGCTTAAAGTGACTTTTTTTATTTTCAGAAATGTTTTTCTCCTTGCTGTTTATTTCTTTGACTGTTGGAGTTTATTCTGATCATTATGATAGAACAAACATGTTACCAGACCGGACAACAATAGTGCACCTTTTTGAGTGGAAATGGAAAGATATAGCTGACGAATGCGAAAGGTTTCTTGCACCTAAAGGATATGGTGGTGTACAAGTAAGTGGCAAAGCTATATATAGCATTCATTTACTTACACAGTTAAGAAGGATTAATTATTTATAATTATCATCAATCCTACATCCCCACTGCAGGGGCTCAGGCCTTTCTTAAGGATGGTTAATTAGGATGGGCCATGGCGCTCCACGCTGGCCCAATGCGGATTGAGGATATAAACCGCTGCAAATGTAGCCGTGGCCAACGGCTTAACGTGCCTTCCGAAGCACAGAGTAGCTCGAGACAATAATTTTTTCATCTTCCGAATCTTTTTGCAAAAGTTGCTTACCAACAACGATCGCAGGCCGCGTTGTTTATCTATTACGCCATCGAGCTACTAATTCAATGTGTCTACATTGCTGAGTCGAGAACTCACTTTAATTCCCGGTCAGATCAACGTAGAAAATAATTTAATGTATATTGCTTTGAGTGTGGGTAAGTTTTAGCTACTTAGTTTGAAATCTGAGCAAATTATATTGTTTATAATTATTTCATGGTACGCATTTATAAGATTATGATTGTTGCCTTAGATATCACCTCCGTCAGAAAATTTGATCATCCACAAAGATGGCGGAAGACCATGGTATGAGCGTTACCAAGTCATGTCTTATAAACTGATTACAAGATCGGGAAACGCTGAAGATTTTTTGAATATGACAAAAAGGTGCAACCAAGTGGGGGTTAGGTGAGATCATTCATTATTCTTATGAACAAAAAGGCTGTGACGGTTTGAACTTGATTAATTAAGGGCAAACAAAAAAAAACTCTTTTCTTCGGGTTTGGTGAGTAATTTAACTATATATTATATTTGGTTGGATATAGTATACATTGACAACAGGTAATAATAAATAGATTTAAACACTCTTTACAACAAATTTCTATTGATGAAATTAAACATGTATAATGTTTCTTACAACTCAACGAATTATCACAAACTGACACTGACAAATTTCAAATTACGAAATATGAATAATAAAAATAAATAATGTTGAACATCCAAGACAAAAAGTTTGCATGCGGAAATCTAGTACAAAGTAAACGGTGGTACGACGCACCTGGCTATTATAATATCCTTTTAGAACTTTGAAGGTTTTCGCGTTAAGTGCGGTATATACAGGTCAAGTATACACTTCAAAGGCGCTGTGTGACTGGATTTTGTTGACTATAAAGATGAAAATTGTGTGCACCGCCTTACTGCTTAAGAAGCGTCACGATGTCGATACGCGTCTGTAGACTCATTATAGCATACCGGGAGCCTGCTTTTCGACTCGCGATGTGGATCATTAAGGTGGAAGTTAATACGGCTATATTCGTCTTAGTTGTTAATAGAGGGCGCTAATGTTCTTATTCGATAATATACTTTCTTTATAATGAACATGCATATATGCCTTAAATTTTTTTGTAATTCATATCATAATTGTATTATCAAATTCTATTAATTATTAACTGTGTAATTATTAATAGTGATAAATGGCCATCCTTGAAAAATACCCTACCTCATACGTAAACTAACTTTATTGTTTATGAGATTCACGGCTGGGGGGGGGGGCATGCCAATGACACTGATATAATTTAAGCTCACAATGGTTCTCTCTCATCCATACATAGGGTGATTCAAGCCGCCGATTTATAAGTATATAAGGTATAGTGGGTGAAGCCGAAGAAGGTATTAACGACTACAAATGCAGTCGGGACCAACAGCTTAACGTGCCTTCCAAGCTAGCCTTAGGAGTAGCTCGAGATAATAATTTTTTGGTCACCCATCCCGTGACCGACCCCTGCGAAAGTTGCTTAACGACAACGATCGCGTGCCGCGGCGCTTATCCACTACGCCACCTAGCTGCTCTAAAATGTTTAACTGGGAATAATCTAGAAATCAATGTTATCACATTTCTGATAACGCATCAGATTTTTGTAATACAATATTATGATCCTGTTTTTGTAAGATAATTAAAAATAACACGCGGTCATAAGCTGATACTTGGACAATACCATTTTCTTTTAGTACCTACATAATCTATACTATAATAAAAATGTTAACTGATCGATGTCTGAAAAATTAAATTAAAGAGATATGCAAAAAAAATGTTATGAGAGGCATTTATAAACGTAATAGAACACATAACGATTTTTTGTCGGTTTGTCTGTGCGTTTGTGCACGCTAATCTCAGAAATGGCTATACCGATTTAAATACAGTTTCATTATTGTATTGTGGTAATCGTGTATGTTTCATTTCAATCACTTCATAAATAAAAATAAAAAAATATGTTAATTTGAAGTATTATGTCAGGCAAAATTGCTATGATATTAAATGGTTTATTAAATTCTATAATACTTTATTAAGCTCTTTTATATGCCTACTGTAGGGGCTCAAGGCTTTGATTTGATAATTTTTTGGTCACCCATCCCGTGAACAGACGTTGCGAAAATTGCTTAACAACCACAATCGCGAGCAGCGGATCTTGTCCGTTGCACCACCGATTTTTGTATTGATATTGTCTGTAAAATGATAATTTGTAAGATGATAAATAAAAAATAAGTCTCCAATATTTTGAATAATCTAATGTAAATTGACCTCATGTATATAAGACCAATCTTATTAAATAGGGTTCAGCTTATAATGGACAATTGGTATAAGGCCACGCGAGTAGGACATCAAGAGACAAAGAGCGCTACGCTGCTGCAATTTAGCATCGAGTAGGGTTAACAGTAAGCGCACGTGTTATGTTTTCGATGGTAATTTTTTATCAGGTAAGGTTCACGTCTTTGAGACTAGCGGAGATGGTTGGCAGCCACCTCTGCATTGCAGGGTCTCACCTGTCTAGGAGAGGCTCTTGATGTACCTGAGCCCGATCTTTGAGTGTCTTTGTGACTCAGCTACGGCATATCGGGTCTCGACAGACCTCCGGGGACCCACTGGGTAGCTAACAGCAGTGAGCCTACTACTACTAGTAGTTACGGTCGTTTATTTTTAACCAACTTCAAAAAATACGTACGTATAGTTATTCTATTTGAATGTTTTCTTGTATCCATATTACACTTTTTTTGTTTGAAAGAGTATACCCTCAAAATAATGACATTAAAACTGACGAAATTACGTCAGTAGTTTTGTTTTAATATAATAAAACTGGGAGAACTACTACATCGCCTAATTATCTTGCTATAAAATGTCACTTTCATAAATAAACAGGATTCGAAAACGTATAATAAGCCTTATTATGACAAATTCAAGCTTTGTTGAGGAGGAGACCTATACAAAAAAATATGAATAGTAGTATACTGCATCCTCGATATTATATACTTTAACGATGGCAATGAAATAGTATGATTAAGCGAAGATTTTTTGCAATGAGATTCGTTTTAGAGTTCCGTACACAAAGGGTAAAAATGGAATCCTAATTGAACCGTGATAGAAAGTTTAAATTTTCACAGATAATGTATTTCACTGGCACTGTAATAACAAATACCAAAAAATAGAATAATATTATTGTTTAGGGGTTGCCATATAATCAACGTATTCATTTCTCCTTTCCGGTAAGGTATCCTCCTTACGCAAGTTCGACTCGCATTTGACCGGTTTTTTGACATGTGGTTTCCATTAAATACTAAGACCCTATGAGCACAGCTCAGTTTATTTCTATTTTTTTTTTGGACCAGAATATGCTGCTGTAAGTAAGCTTCCGAGTTTCTGAGATTATGTGACTTGATATTTTGTTGAATTGAATTACAATGAAAATTAAATGTTGGTATTAAAAATCAGTCTAATCGTTGTAAAATCCGTTTACGATCTTACTCGGCAACAGGTTTTGCAGGAATAAAAAAAATATTCAATTATCTACTAAGATTCATTTACTGTTTACTGTTACTGTTAGAATTTACTGTTATTCCAAAATGGTCGCCATAATATATTTTAAATGAACAAACCTTCGTTTGCCTTATGATGATCTATTTATTTCATGCCTACGTACATAGTTAAAAGGAGAAAGAAATGAATTACTTCTACACAAAAAATGTAACAAGGATTAAGCACCAAGACATTGAACTTTCAGCAGCCCTTTTACGTCCCCACTGCAGGGGCTCAGGCCTTCCTTATGAATGGTTAAGGAGAATAGGCCATGACCCTCCACGCTGGCCCAATGCGGATTGGAGGGTATTAACGACTGCAAATGCAGCCGGGACCAACGGCTTAACGTGCCTTCCGAAGCACGGAGTAGCTCGAGATAATAATTTTTTGGTCACCCATCTCGTGACCGACCCTTGCGAAAGTTGCTTAACGACAACGATCGCGGGCTGCGGCGCTTATCCACTACGCCACCGAGCTACTCTACATTGAGCTACATTGAACTTTACACAAGTGTTATTAATATCAATATCAATGTATATATAAATATCTTTTTAAATTCATGGATTATATCCATTCCCTGTGAATTTAATTTCATTTAATTAAAGTGAGACTTAACGCGTAAGATTGTTTGACCGGAATAGATTTTAATTGACAAAGAGGGCGTTTACACCAAAAATCCTAATCTTTTTAAAAAATTGCATTTCTTGTTATAATTATACAGTTTTTTTATAGGAAAATCTGTCATATATACAATTTATAGCCGAAGGAATCGTGCAGTACTTTTGGAATTATCGTAATAGTTTGCGAGTTAATAATAAAAACCCTTTTTGCCGCGCAATTCGCCATCCTCTGTCTTTATCTATATCATTGTTCAATGAAAGAGTCAGGTAAAGTCTAATATTACGCTCTCTATTAATAACATTATAGGGACACAAAGCAAGTAGCCGAGCCAATCAAAAAAGCAAAAAAGTATTTCATATGATATACATGTCATTTTGTAGAATAGGAACTTAGTAGAATAGAAAAACCATTAAAAACCGTAGTTTCGTTCGGTTTCGATCCGTTTTCGATTCTATTTGAACAAAATTTATTTAGTAGAATTGGCCCCCAGGTATAGTACCTAAATAAATATATTATAATTTATAAGTAGTGTTATGTGTGTATATACATTACAGTACCTATAGGATATAATTTGCTTTGTGCGGCTAGCTGTTCATACATATCTTTTAGGGTGCCCGTACCCAATGAGTAAAACGGGAACCTATTATAACGACTTCGCTGTCCGGCTCTCACCAAAAAAGAAAGAAAGAAAAATTTCACAGAGGATGTGTGTCCCTCAGATCAGGGGGGATATAAACGCTAAATTAAGTTTCTGCACCAGTTGGGAAAAGTTGTCTTCTAACCGGACCTGATACCGACCCGGGCCCCCGACGGGGTTAGTCCGCCAATGGTTAAATTACTGTCTTATAATACGATTGAGATACACTTATTGTTTTATAAACAAAACTGCTTTCAAATATTTTAAGTGTAAGAAATTTCATGGATAATTATAATAAGCATTCCAACATTGTAATTACGTTAAGTTAAATTCATGTTGTTGCGCTGTTGTTGTCTTAAACCCGGTTTCTGAATTGTATATTTCATTCATGTCTCAAACTGTAAACGTCACTGAGAAAAAAAAAACAGAATAAAATAAATATTTAAGGGGGTCCCATATAACAAAATTATTGCGTTACATTTGTTACTTGTATAAAAATATTTTTTCATTACGTCTATAAATGTTCTCAATGCTCAGGACTTCCCTATGTATAAATCGAAACGAACAGGGAGAATGTTTCATGACCAACTACGCAGGCCCAATTAGGATTGGAGGGTGTTAGTGACTGCAGATGACGTCGGGATGGTTTAACCTGTCTTCCGAAGCGCGGAGTAGCTCGAGATAATAATTTTTTGGTCACCCATCCCGTGATCGACCTTTGCGAAAGTTGCTTAACGACGACGATCGCGGGCCGCGGTGCTTATCCTCTACGCCACCAAGCTACTTATTCAATGTGACTGCATTACTGAGGGCTCGGGTTTAATTCCCAGTGGGGTCCACGTAGAAGATAATTTAATGTAGGTATATTGATTTATAATAATTTTTTGGTCACCCATCCTATTACCAGTCCTTGCGAAAGTTGCTTAACTTCACCGATGCTGAACTTTTAATATGCTTTCAGGATCTATGCGGATGTGGTCATCAACCATATGACTGGTGATAATCCAGAGAACATAGGCACAGGAGGAAGCACTGCTGACTTCAAGAATTACAGTTACCCAGCTGTGCCATACACTATCGAACACTTCCACTATCCATTCTGTTCTATCCACGACTACAACAACGCTGCTGAGGTATATACATTTATAATTGAGTTTTGAAAACTACAGTGTTCCAAAATTTTAATTTTATATTAAACTAGCTTTCGCCAGCGGCTTCGCCCGCGTGGACCCTAGGGAAATGTTTAGTGGGATAAAAAGTATCCTATTATCGAAGTCAGCTAACACCCTATCTGTATACCAAATTTCATCAAAATCCGTTCAGTAGTTTCGGCGTAATTGACGTACAAACATCCAAACATCCAAACAAAGAAACTTTCACATTTATAATATTAATAGGATACTAAGTAATTTTTATTACAAAGTCAGTGTCATCAAATTTCCTATTCCAAATTAAATAATCATTATGGAATACTATCTCATTTTAACAAAGAACGTTTTAAAGCCTTCTGATTATTATATTTGATCAAAATTCTGCATTCAAAGTGCTATACTGAAAAAAATATTTATAAATATTAGACAACATCACATACATTGCTCAGATTTCAAGATGAGTAGCTAAAACCTCTTAATTATGGAGTATCTGAGACAACAAAGGTACCAACACCCAGACCCGTGACAATATAGAAAAGTCAATTTTCTACATTGATCCGACCTGGAATCGAACCCGGGACCTCAAAGATGGCGATGCCTTAAAAGCTGGCGTGCAAACTACTCGGCTACAGAGGTCGTTTAATGATAAATGCTCAAAAAATCCACTTTGTCCCTGGCACTCTGAGATGGTACTCGAATCCACGATTTTTCGCAATCCGGGCGACTGCTCTAACCACTGAGCTACCCAGGACCTAACAGGACTGACTTTTACTGCCATAGAGCGTATTTTCATATCCCAAATGAAAGAGACATTATGGAATACTATATAAGTATAATGAATAAAGTTCTAAGGCCTTCTTTTATCCATTTAGTATATGACAGAGATGTTAAAGAGAGATCTTTTTTTTAATTCTTTTAATTTTTAAGGGGTATTTATTCTTTAGAACATGCCAACCCCATCATACCATACTTAAATCTAAATTCATTTGATAACAATATTTCACTAGGTAATTTTTACAGCATTTACAAGAAAGATAATAATTGTGTTATACTTAATGATTTTAGCGGGATTTTTACCATGTAGCTACACACTGTTGCACAGATATTTAATTCGACACACAATGTATTAAGCCTTAAAATCAATTGAATTTGCCAGACCCATATAACCGATTGTCTGTTGTATTGTACCTTAATTGTTGTATGACTGTTGAGTACACAATGATTACGTACCCATGATTTATTACTCTAACGTTAGTGACAAAAAAGTTTTACTTAGAACAATAAAATAATGATTTTGCTATACAGACTTTGATACCTTAATTACATTGAATGACTACTAATCTTCAGATTACTTAGAGAAGACCAGGGGGCCAATTCTACTAAATAAATTTTGTTACTAAACTCAGTGACATACGATACAATTCCAGCTAAAATAGAACTGGAATTGTATCGTATGTCACTTTGTAGAATAGGAAAACCATTAAAAACTGTAGTTTCGTTCGGTTTCGATCCGTTTTCGATTCGATTTAAACAAAACTTATTTAGTAGACTGGTGTAGTCAATAATATTTATATAGGTGTTTACTACACCTTAAATTTTGGAAACATAATATATAATCATAAAAAAAAGAAATTCTGTTTAGACCGTTAGTAAAATAATAGAAAAATATTAGATATGTATATTAGATTATAATAGGCATTAAGGTTGAAGAGTGCGGACTCGCTACGTCACAACTATGTTGAAAATGTACAAATGTATTGCCATAATTTATTGATTACACAAAAAATACGTGTCTAATATTCTTTAATAATCCTAACGGACAGACAAACTAGTCATCATCGTTATTATTGAGAGAAAACCTCTATGATACGACTTCACCCAAATCACAAATTCCCAAGTGAAGATCAGCTCACATTGTTACGCTACTGACAATTCCAGTATAGAAACTTATTCGTTGAATGCTTCAGGTGCGAAATTGTCAACTGGTAGGACTTAAAGATTTAAACCAGACTATGTATTATGTACGCCGAAAGATTAAAAGGTACCTTAACAAACTTATACGTTTCGGAGTGGCCGGAATAAGGTAGGATTACGATTATAATATTGTATGCCATTATAATGCTTATTGTGTAAATCTGTTTAATACGTAAGCCTAACTCGTGATAATTGTTTGAAGTGTTTACTATCTAACAGCTTATATAGCATGATGAAGTTGGGATACATTTTGTTTACATCCAATTGTCACGTTGGTTCTGACCATTTTATATTGGTGTAACAATAAAGTATATTAAAATGGTGTGAGAATAAAGTATTATTATTATTATTTCTCGAGTTCGTCATGATGCTGTGCGTGCTGTTGCTCTATTCTATTAAATATACAGCATTGAACATAGCGACAGACTGGAGGTGCAATCAAATCAAAACTGACCACAAAGGTAATAATGATTCTATTTGATCGAGCCTCTATGCTGTGACGGCACTGCGTTTGACGCTCTATTTTTAATAGAATAGCAAAGTTGCTGTTCTCACATATTTTTATAACTCGATGTGTCGTTGACTGTACTTATCGTATTACAAGTTTTTTTGTGGGTGTGTTTCTTGTGGTCATTGTTTTCTAATTTAAACCAATTTACGTCAACAATGGAAGGTCAAGTTTTAAGACAAACATTCGACTTCTTTTCAGCGTCGCTGACGTCATTACCTATCAATTGCCTGAACTGACAATTCGCTTTAGTTATCAGAAATATTTATTTTATTGTGTGTGTACTAACATTAATGTAATTTCTCGTGTGTGGTTGACTAATATTCTAACATTACTAATATCTTGTAGGTGAGATCATGCAACTTGGTCGGCCTGAAAGACTTAAACCACGGTTTGAGTTACGTGCAAACAAAAATTGCCAATTACCTAAACGAACTCATATCACTAGGAGTAGCCGGGTTTAGGTAAGTCCTTTATTAGAAGCACGAATTTTTATGTTTATTTTAAAAAGTTGCAAGAAATAACAATAGAAAACGTTAGAGTAATTCTATCGCAAGTGAAAATAGAAAATTTGTTTTTCTTTAGTTTAGAAAATGGCACATTTGTAATGCTCTATTCTCTATCTAATTATTTAAAATCTGTGAATGTAGATTGTGTATAAAGTTGAAGATTAATAAGATTTTCTGTTAATTTGATTGTTTAAATAGATTAGATTTCATTATCAAGAAGTCCTTTATGCTTTTAAAAGACTTGTTAAAAGCTTTGATTTTCTAACTCGTAATAACAAACGAACCTTTTCTTTTCCAGTTAATTTTTATATAAGTATATTTTTGTTTTATATATTTTTAGAGTTTTGTGATGATAAAATAAAGGAATTCAATGAGATTATGTTTTAGCTTCTATAGTTGTGGTATTCTGAAATCAAATCAGACTCGAACTCGATGTATATATAGCTTAGCTGTTAACATAGATATTTAATAGAATAAAACCTTTGAAGTTTGATTAATTGAACCTTTATGCTCTGATATCGAGTTTCACGCTGATATTAATACAAAGTATCACTGCTGTACTGATTTTTAAAAGATTTTATAATTTTTATGTAGATAAATAGTAAAATTACGTTGCCTTATTTTCTATTGATCTAATAAAAAGAAATTAACAATCATCACTTCTTTATATCTTTAATGGCAATGGCGAAATTTTTTTTTGTTTGTCCGTCAAGTAGGTTGTTGATAAATATTAAACACGTATTTATTTTTCGTTATCATTAAATAACGGCATTAAATTGAGTTAAAATGTCACACGACGTCACGCTTTTGTATATTTTCTACAAAACTGTGATGTAGCGAGCACCCACTCCTCAACTTTAATGCCTGTTATCTAAGCTATTCCTTGTTAAATTGAAATAAAAAAAGGAATACGTATCTAATATTTTTCTATTATTTTATTATATATTTCTATTACTGACGGACTAAATATATTTTTACGCTGTCGCCAACCCTGTTAATTAAATTTTTATATTATTCAGTGATTAAAACTATTTATGCTACATTTTATTGTATCAACATTTTTAATAAAACATATCGACGCTCAAAAGCACACACGTAGTAACCCGCAAACGCAAAATTGTACTTCATTGCAGAATAAATTTTTATTTATCATGTTTAAACATATGTGAATCGACTATAAACTTAGGGCACTATTTTTATTACCACGGAGTTGTATAAGATTTCCTTTTGAAAAAATATAAAGTTATTCTTAATGAAAAATGTTTAAAAATCCACTTTGTGCCTGACACTCTGGAAATGGACTCAAATCCTTGACTATTGTTTTGCTGCATTCTATAAAAACTATTGCGTCAAATATAGATATGTTCTATTAAAAATACTGCATCGAACACAGATATGTTTCAGTAAACATATCATTGTGAATGCAAATTAATCAAATATAAAGTTATTCTGCCTTGAACAATTTTTGGGATTGCGGGTTATTACGTTTTCGCTTTCCAGCGTGGTTATGTGTACATAAAAGGTAATTTACTTATTTTAGAGTGGACGCAGCGAAACATATGTGGCCGAATGATTTGAAAGAGATTTACAGTAAACTCAACGATTTAAACACCGACTTTGGTTTTAAGCCCAAAACGAGACCATACATTTATCAAGAAGTCATTTATTACGGTCAGGAGGCAGTCACACCTAGTGAATATACACATCTGGGAGACGTAACTGAATTTAAGGTAAGTTTTAAAATATTTTGTGTGATATATTATCATTAAACGAATGTAACCAGTTACGTCGCGTGCATTTATGAAAATTTATCATATTTCCAGTTCTTTCGGGATAAATAAAAGAAGTCAAAAATATTAAAAAAAAACGTTTAAAAGTCTTTTCTTTAATAATTACAGTCTACAGATGGTACACCACCTCAGTCATCTTGGACGTGATTTTTTAAGCATATTCCTTTTATGATTTATAATACTATCTATAGACTTGTAATTGTTATCTGTATTTTCTAATGACTCTATCATTAATTGATATTGTGGTTAAAATTACGGCAAATAGTAAAAAATTGTTTTTTTTAATCATATTTTATACAAATCCTGATAATAATAATCAAAACAAAAAAGAATATGAATGACGACTGGGTCAAAAAAAAGAAATCTATTTAGTCCATCAGACAGATAATATTAAATTAAAGTGGGGGCTCGCTACGTTAACAGATTTGTGGAAAATGTACAAAAACGTGATGTAATGTGACATTCCAGATCAATGTACCTTCGTAATTTATTGATTAAGTAAAAAAAAATACCTATTTAATATTATTCAATAATCTACCTGACGGAAAAACAAAACGAAAATTAGTCGTCATCCTTATTATCTCATTTGGTGCAATCGTTCTGAAAATACGCGTGTAATATATCTCTAAGTATATAACGACGGGTAGTCAGAAGGGGCTATTACTGTTAAATATGTGTATAATAAATATAACAATTTAGTTACGTATATAAATATAATCGATTATGTAAAATATGTTGCTTTGTTATTAGTATTCGATTCGACCATTTTTCGTTCGCGCCATTGCAACACGTATCCATTTTTGAGTACTGGTATAACAGAAGCAGAGAGGGGAGGTAGTATAAAAACGGTTGAAATGGCGCGGAGCGGCACTATGTCGTAGAACGTCAAAGTGAACGTACATTATTAAGTGGCTTGTTATTGAGGGTTAAAAACTGTGAGACGTGTATTTTGTGGATCTGGAAATTAAATGATTTTATAAATAAGTTACAAAGTGGTTTGATTGTGAATAACTCAGAAGTGGGATAAAGGGAGCTTGGAAAAACGAAACAATAAAAAGCTCTCACTCCACGCTAATGTAAGTACTTTTATTACCATTATTATTATGATTCTTTTTAAAAGAGAAAAACCTTTTAAAATTTAAAGTTTATGAGGGTATATTTTTTTTTTTTTTTCTTTCTTTTGTTGGAAAGCTTAATTTTTCTTTTTCTTACAAACAGTGATTAATGAAGTGGCGATATTGTATTGCATGTTTGCCAGGGCTACTCTCTGGGCATGCAATTCATATGATCGCAGACTCTTCTTGCGCTTTGCCAGGGCAACTCTCTGGATGCGTCAGCTGAGTCTTACACTAAATTTAATGCCTGACTCGACCATGAATTTTCGATTTCTGTCTTTCATATATGCCAGGGCTACTCTCTGGGTATGCAAGATAGCGATCGCAGTGACTTTCCTAACGCTTTGCCAGGGCAACTCTCTGGATACGTTAGGTTGTCTCAATTGAAAAACTGACTATTTTACTTGACTATCAACCTTCTCGATTTCTACCTTCCATATTTGCCAAGGCTACTCTTTGGATATGTAAGATAGCGATCGGTGATGCCACTAGCGCTTTGCCAGGGCAACTCTCTGGATGCATTAGTTGGTATTCTGCATTGAAGATACAATTTGCTTTACCTACTTATGACTTCGAATTGAATTAATATTATATTTTAATGATTTTATTTATTTTGTGTTTTCGAGATCACGATGGACGATAATAATGAAGCTACGAATAGAAATCGAGAAAGACTTGAGACACGCGATACGAGAGTATCCCCATCAATTCTTGCTGAAATAGAAGGGAACAGTGATGATGAACTGATGCTTAGATACCGGTTATTGAGCGATGAGCTAGAGCGACGTTCAACAAACCGTGTCAACGCGGACGATGAGCTTGAGCGCCGTCCGCGATCAAGACGAAATGAGAACGATGAGCTTGAGCGACGTTCTTTCACAAGAAATAGGGTCGAGGATGGTGAGCTAGAGCGACATTCTCGATCCATCCATAGAACTGAGAATAGAGAGCTAGAGCAACGATCCCGATCACGAAGTCCTAGGGACGATGAGATTTTGCGATCTCTTACGAATGAGGTAAGACAACATCGAATTGTTACGTCCAACCCTTTTTCCGCAGAATCTAATAGAGGATTAGAACACCATAGACAAAGCAGAATTAGAAGATCCGACACTGAAACGCTAACCCACACTCCGAGATTGCGAACACCTACAACAATATTACGTGAACCTGACTATCAACGAGATGATGTCTCGCCGCCTCGACGTCGTGTCAGGTACGAGAACTACGATATTCCACCTAGTGATAATATCTTGAATCAATTCGTGAAGGCACTTAAAGATTTTGCTTTGTTAGGAAACAATAAGATTATGGCCGGGAATAACGTGATTCCAGAATTTGATCCACTGTCCAAAAATCAAACTGTTGCTAATTGGATAACCAAGGTTGAAGAATGTGCGGAAATTTATAAATGGAGTGAAAGTGAGATGATTCATTACGCCTTACCTAAACTGGTTGGTCTTGCAAAATCATGGTATCAAAACTTGCCAACTGTTCGTTATACATGGGCTCAATGGAAGGTTAAGCTTAATGAATCATTTCCATGTCGCGAAAACTATGCTGATCTTTTAATTGAAATGCTTTCTTTAAGGGTTCGTTTTGGAGAGTCACTAGAACAATATTTTTATTCGAAATTAAATTTACTAAATCGTTGTAAGATCACCGGTAATCAGGCCGTAGATTGTATTTTACAAGGGATTGATGATAGAAGTGTGAAAATAGGTGCACAAGCAGCTCAATTTGACTCTCCGGAACAAGTTCTTACGTATCTAAAGACTGTTAGAATCGGAAATAATAGAGACTTTGTTTCTAGTTCTAACAGATTTAGGCAAGATAGGAAACATGTACGTAATAACTCATCGGGGAATAATAAAACTCTATTGGGAGGAAGTAAGCCACCTATTAAATGCTTTAATTGCGGATTAGAGGGTCATCCTAGCTTTTTATGTTCTAAACCAATTGAAAAGTGTAGCAATTGCCATAGAATAGGTCATAAAGTCACGTCTTGCCCTTATATTAACAAAAATAATGAACACCCCATTAGTAGTGAGAAACAGGTTCTTAAGGTTAGCATAAATGATATCTGTTGTACAAACCCGGCACAAGAACAAAATAACCCGATTAATGAATTGAATTTTGATAATGATTTGAAACTGGTAGACATGTCCCGTAAATATTTTATGACTATCGGAGTAAATCAAAATTTAATGGATTGTTTTATAGACCTAGGTAGTGAATGTTCTCTCATGCGTTATTCTGATGCTTTAAACTTAAACGTCGAACTTAAAACTGATAGTTTACCTGTTTTAAAGGGAATAGGCAATAATCACTTGCATGCTAAAGCGCGGATTGAAGTTGAAGTTAACGTACAAGATATAATATTACCAATTGAAATGTATGTGGTAGATGACGACGTCATTAAGCAACCAGTGTTGTTAGGGCAAAATTTTACCGAACATCCCAACATTATCTTAACTAAAACTTCTTCAGAATTGTTATTCGAAAATACAAAAGATGCAAGCAAACTATAACTTACAGTTTCTGATACCACAATTATTCCTCAGTATGATATAAAGCTAGTACCTATTGTAGCGAACAAATTATATTCAGGCATTATATATATAGATGGCTCTATAAGAGGTAAAATAGGACACCAATATTACCTTCTTCCAGGGGAATATCATCTTAAACACGGTAAATGTAGTTTATTAGTTCAAAATATCACGATAAATCCAATTAAATTCACTGCAAATTCTTTAATGACCCGTGCTATACCGGTTTCCTCTATTAGAGAAGTCTCAAAACTATCTATCGATGTCATTGACAAGGAAATAAATTGTAGCGATTTACTCAATGAACCACAAAGGCAAGAACTTAAAAACTTATTAAATAATTATAATGATTGTTTTTCTGAGAACCTTCAAGATCTCGGTTTCACAACAATGACTGAGATGGAAATACGTCTAACTGATTCAGATCCAATAGTGTATAGGCCATACAGAATGTCATTAAATGAAAAGACACATGTGCGTGAAATGGTCCAGGAAATGATAGACGCGAACATAGTACGAGAATCTTCATCGCCTTATGCTAGCCCAATTTTATTAGTTAAAAAGAAAACCGGGGAAAAACGTCTGTGTGTGGATTATAGGGCCCTTAATCGAAAAACTATTAAAGATCGTTTTCCGTTACCACGGATTGAGGATCAGTTGGATCTTCTTTCTGGACACAGTTACTTTACAACACTTGATCTTGCGTCTGGCTACTACCAGATACCGATTAAAGAAGATTCTAGGCATAAAACGGCTTTCGTTACTCCCGACGGACAGTTCGAATTCATGAGAATGCCATTTGGTCTGGTTAATGCGCCATCTGTTTTTCAACGTACTATAAATAAAATCTTAGCCGAAGCCAAAATTAAATATGCTATGGTCTATATGGATGATATCCTAATACCGGCTCACAACTTTGCCGAGGGGATAACTCGCCTTAGGGAAGTATTAAATTTATTAAGATCTGGAGGGCTAACTCTAAAATTATCAAAATGTTTTTTCTTTTATAACAATATAGACTACTTAGGATTTGAAGTAGGTTCTCATGGAATACGTCCAGGTTCTCGTAAAACTGAGGCTGTAAGTAAATTTCCCGCACCCAAAAACCAGCATGAAGTCCGTCAATTTATTGGCTTAGCTAGTTTTTTTAGACGATTTGTAAAGAACTTTGCAATAATAGCGAGTCCGTTGACGGATCTACTTAAGAAAAATTCTCCTTTTGAATGGTCTGATAAACATAATTATGCTTTTATGACTCTTAAAAACTGTCTCA